AAGAAAAATAGCCATCACACCCCCTTGTTGCACTTGTCTTAGAAAGTTTGCAGTTGCTTCCACTATCATCAAATCATAATTATTATTAATCAATTTAATTATTAAATCATAACTACAGACACTTAAAAACATACATTTATTATTTTATTAATATATGCAAGCTCATACTCAATATATATATGTTAATTTATTAATAAAAATGAGTAAATATGATTGCTTTGCTACTGTTAGTAAAATAAAAAAACATTCTTTCACTAATTGACAATGTTTTTTCATAGAACGTGAAAAGCCCATAGAAAGAAATTATTGCCCTTTTAGAATAATAATGCCCTTTTTTTGCACCCTGCCCTTTTTTCTGCCTGAATGAGCTCTATTTATTTTAATATGTTCTTGAAATTATTGATGTCCATTGAATCAAAACCGTTAAAATTTAACATGAACCACCAGGAAATGATTGTTCATGATCTGCTGTATCAGCAACTGATTACCATTGACCTAACTTAAAGAAATGATGTTTTTTGTTCTGTCTATTTCTCACGAAGTAGACAACCGAATTAAAATGGCAAACAAGAGTTTCTTTGGACTAAGAAAGAAATTAAGATCAAGCCTACTAAGTCGAAAAACCAAAATTAAAATTTATAAGACTCTTATTCTACCTGTATTGCTCTATGCAAGTAAAACATGGACACTAAACGCATACACTCAGCGTACTCTTGGTGTTTTTGAAAGGAAAATTCTTAGAAATATTTTTGGCCAAGTACAGGAAAGAGGCTGTTGTTGAATACAACTTTGAATTATATAGACTCTATGGACAGCCACAGATAGTGCAGGTCATCCGAAGCAATAGATTAAGATGGCTTGGTCATATCTGGAAAGGTCCAGAAAACAATGCATTACGAATCGTCACCTTTAAAAATCCTTATGGATCTCGGACCAGAGGAAGACCTCCAACTAGATGGCACTACTAAAGATCTCAAAGTAACAAAGATTACAACTGGAAAAAAGTCGCCATGGATAGGAGGCGTTGGAGGCTACGCGTAGTTGAGGCAGCCAAGGCTTGTAAGGGGCTGTCGTGCTGAAGAAGTATTTTTCACGAAATAGCATACTCCTGTATGATTGTTTGTTTTTCACTTAATGATTTTCAGCTATTTTCACGTTTAAATTTTTTTTTCATACTGAATGCATGATCTGTTTGTGCTAAATATGCAACGTTTAACACTTCTATTAATGTGAATTAAAGTTTTAATTGCGATGTTAAATATACATAATTCCATTGCAGTATAGTTCACAAGAATTACAATTGTGTTCTTGTTAAATTGATTTTTGTCTTATGCATTTTAAATGTGTTTTTTTTAAAAGGGCGAAAAACTTTGAGACATGTGAATAGACCAATGAAAATACCAGGTGCATGAATTAATGAAATCTTAGTTATTGGTCCTTTGGACTCTGGACTAAATTTTCTTATTTTCTATTCCTGATGTTTGAGATTAAGGAGTAAAGGCTTATTTATGTTGAGGGAATTGGTTGAATTGTTCTATATGTTTATTAATCTGCTTTTGAAATTCATACTGTACCTTTTCTGTTCTGTTAATTTTGTTAAAAAATTTTGATTGAGTTGTTTGTTTTATTAAAAATATAATCGAGCTATGTTACATGCTGCTGAAAAATGTGTACATCATAGTTTATTCTGCTCTAGTGAATCATAAACTTTGACAATCGTCATCCGCTTGATTTACCTTTCGTTATTGGATAAATGTGTACACCATTTACTGATTTCTGTGTCTATATATTGAAAAATCATAAGGGAAGCCGATGCTGTTCTGGATGTTCATCTTAATGTTGCAATTTGTGTAACTGTGTAAAGATTATGGCTTAAGAACTTAAAAAGACTATGGTGTATCTAAAAATATATATTGAGTTGAAATTAAACAAAAAAATTAATAAACATTTGATAATTAAAGAATTACTTAGTGTTGAACTTGTTAGAAAAAATAACTTGCATGTCGCTGCAGGGATGCAGCTACGGTGTTGAAATTTAGTTTGCTGAAAGTACTCTTATGAACTTAACGTTGAGTGTTTTTGCTTACCATTCCTCCTCAAGCTGTTCTACCGTGAATTGTTAGGCTTTGCAAGTAGGTTGTCAGGCTGAGGATAGTCATCCACTCTGTTGATGATCAAAATTATGATAGCATATCTCTGAATTATCATTAGCTATGTTTCCCTAGAGTGTCGCGAGTAGCCCTTTGTGCAGCTCTAATGCAATGTAATTGAAGAACTACTGTATTGAAGAAGGTTTTAGGCCAACTGTGTTTTAGGTGTTTACCTTAACATTGCATTTTGTTTCACTGTGCCAAGAACTATAAGACTAAGAAACTTGAAAATACTATGGTGTGTTGAAAAGTGTACAGGGATTTAGATGAAATGAAAATTGACCATATGTTATTTAGTTCGAGAATTATTAACTAACTTTTCTTTCAAAATACCGTATGATCTTTTCTATTGGCTTTAGGAAAGCAACTACTTTGTTAAAATTTGATTTGCTGCAATGTTCATACTCAACATATGTTTTTTCAAAATTCCAATTTGTGAGCTATTACAATTTTAAATGCTTTTTTTTGTGATTTTTTTATCAATTTTTACTTTACGTTACATCTTGCTTTGCTGCTTAAAATCTTTGACTTATAAACTTAAAATTATGAAGGTGTGTTGAAAAATTGTCAAGGAGTTTCAAGAATTATTAACTGTTAAAAACATATTGGTCAATTTAATGGTCAATTAAAGTTGGAATTGCAAGGTTTGCAAACTAAGCAAGGTTTTTTATTATAGCTTTCTGAAACTCTGGAGGCAATTATAATTTGCCCTATATTGTGTAATTTCACAGTTGTCCTTTTGAGTAAGGATATAATTAGTTTTCTTCTTGTGAAAACTATAGCTTTTTTTATCAACTTTAGGCTTATTAATGGAATGTAGTTAATTGGTTAGAATTATATTGTGTATTAATTTGAAAACTATGCATTATTTAGATATTTTGACTTTTTTTTTCAGTCTATAAATCAATTTAATGGCTTGCCTCACACTGGACACTACTATGAGTTGTTCAAAAAGCGAATAACTTTACCTGTGTGGGAATATAAACCAAAATTTTTTGAGATGTTGAAGAAAAATCAAATTATGGTACTTGTGGGAGAAACTGGATCTGGGAAAACAACACAGGTAGTTTATTTTTACTTCTTTTCTAAATTAAATTTGAAAGCCACTTTTATTTATTTTAGCTGTTCTTTTTTTTTTAAATATTTTCTACATTTTGTTTATAATATTAATTAAAAATATTTACATTATTTCAGATTCCACAATGGTGTGTAGAATGGCTGCGTGAACAAGGTATAAGAAAGGGTGTGGCTTGTACCCAACCTAGAAGAGTGGCAGCAATGAGTGTAGCTGCTCGAGTTGCTGAAGAAATGGATGTCATGCTAGGACAAGAAGTAGGCTATAGCATTCGATTTGAAGATTGTTCATCTATGAAAACAATATTAAAGTATGTATTTTAATGTTCCATTTTTTTTTATCTAAGTTTCTAATTGTCTTTTAACTTTACTGAAAACTCTATGTATATTTAAATTTTAGATTGTTTTAGTTTGTATGAATTTTCTGTTTAGTCTTGAGTTTTTCTTAAAATTTTTTGAAAGATTTTGTAAAGAAAATGCCAAATAGAAATTTATTCTTACAATTTTAGAAAGTTTTATAAGTTGTATGTTGTATCATCGGTAGGTTTCTTTTACCTAACTGATTGGTTTTCAAAATCATTAAATTTTAACTGTAATATAAAGGTTCTAATTGTTTTTGAAGAGAATTTGCTCAAAATAACTTACATTTTTATATTATACTTATATTACTATTGCCTGTGAAAAAGTGAATACCTATTAAGATGTCTTATCTGATGTTACATTTGACATTTAAATTAATTGATATTTTCAAATGTTATTCTAATAATTGTGTTAAAGGTAGTTTGGATAAATGATTCAAACTTTACTCACAAATGTCTCGTGTGAAAAGAATCTTAATCTAGTTTTCAATCTAACATTTACAACAACATATGAATACAAGCTGAACAAATAATTGTAGCCATTGTAATAAGTGCAGTCGAACAGGGTACTCTGAACTTCTTTATATCTTACCTGTTCTGAATATTAAAAAATCTGAATTATCCTAAATTTAAACTGTAATAAATCCTTCCCACAATTTCTGTTACCCTAATTGAAAGCAAAGATTCGTCTACCAGTCATGTTATATTGCAATGCACCTGGATTTTACCCATATTGTTTCAAAATATGAAAGAAAAATGTGTTACTAGCTGATCACTTTCAACTAGACAGTGTATTGCTAGTCTTATTCATGTGGTAAACAAATTACAAACATAAAATAATGCTTTATTGCAGTTCCATATTCTTCTGAATTATGGTTCAGTCATTTGAATGGTAACATTTTCAATATTGTATTGCAGCACTAATCAGTGTTGATTACCTATTTAAACTATATCAAACTTTATGAGATTATGGTATTTCTTAATCATCAACAATAACTGAGAAGTCCCTCTTTTGTCTTTGCATTGTATTATTCACTAAGTTTTTGCTTTTTTTTTATGTTTTGTATATTTTTTTTAAAGAATCTTCTCATTTATAATTTTTTAGAAGGAGTTTTCAAATTGGCAGATTAGTCTGTTTCTTGAATTACAGGGTTCTACTGTAGTTGTAGTTTTAATTATTTTTTTATTATCCATGTCTAGTTATTGTATCTCTACAACTAATCTGAGTGATGATGTATGATATTAATATTAAAATAATGATTTTATTTTTGCTATTGTGCTTTTGATAAGTTTATTTATTGGGGTATCTTCCCACGGCCATGAGTTTTCAAAACATTAATCTGACTGTTGCGTTCCTTCTTCTCTTAGCTGAAGTAATAAATTTTGTTTCGTATTAATTTAAGGCCTTATTAATTTTTCAGATACATGACTGATGGTATGTTGCTCCGTGAAGCCATGAGCGATCCTCTTCTTGAAGCTTATGGGGTTGTACTTCTTGATGAAGCTCATGAACGTACATTGGCTACTGATATTCTAATGGGCGTTTTAAAACAGGTTGTGTCTAGACGTAAAGACATGAAAATAGTTGTCATGAGTGCAACTCTTGATGCTGGAAAATTTCAGGTTTGGATCTTGTCATTTATTTTAAAGAATGTTTTTCTTAATTTGTTTTATGGACCTGCCAACTAACTAGCTTCAAATATGATTGTTGTTTTATAAAAAATAAAAAAAATTTTTTTGCTCAAAATCGTCAATTGCCTTTACTAAAACTGGAGCAAAAGCAGATATTTTACCACAAAATTGGCCTGATTGAAAAATTTAAATAAAAAAAATTTTCCAATTTTTTCCAAAACCTAGCATTTTGCTTATAAATTATTAAAGCTTTGCTTCAAACACCAGTTATCAATGACTTTCAACATTGCCATCCTGCTTGAGAGCTAAGTTTAAATTTGATGCAAATAGTTTTTATGGAGTAACCTGATAGCATGTTGTAAATCTGATCTTAATTTATTGTGAAATCATATTTGATTACTGCAAATATTTGTTTTCTTTTGAACTTAAATCTTGTAAAAATGTATACATGTAAATATGTTTTTTATAAAGTTTTGGTTTTAGTTTAATTGGTTTATTTTTCTAAAATTTTCTATGTAAGTTGATCGCAGATGGTATTTTAATACTCTCCATTACTTTTCTAAAAATTAAAAAAAAAAAAAAAAAAAAAGCCGGGTGCCCAATTTATTATGTTCCTTTATGTTTTGTTCCATTTATTTGCAAAATTCTATTTTAGAACTATTTATAAAATTTTTTTATGGTTAATGTTATAAATCCAGTTGTCCTGTCTTTGTTTTTCTCTCTATGTAGTTGAATCATAAAAAGAAAAGTGTTAGTTGACTTAAAGTAGACTTCAATTGAGTTTTTCAGTTCTAAATTGTTTTTATGTTGATGTTAATTAAAAAGTAAAAGTCATTTTTATTAGCTATAATTTACTATGTTGTTATATTAATTTTTTTCACTGTAAGTTTGTTTTAAATATTTTTTTACTTAATATTTTAGAATTATTTTGATCATGCACCATTAATGACTGTTCCTGGAAGAACACATCCTGTTGAAATCTTCTATACCCCAGAGCCTGAACAAGATTATCTTGANAATCCGGATTTCCGGATTTTTCGCTAACAGTGATCTGGAAGTTTCCGGAGATCGAAGGTCCAGACATTTCAAAAAATCATTGATCATGACAGTTTATTTTATTTGTTTCTAAGGGAGATCCAGAGAGATACTTTATAAGCTTATATTCATGATTAATATTCATTTTTTATCAGTAAATAGTTGTTATAATCATAAACTCGAGAAAGAAAGACATATTTGTAAATTTTAATTACTTCTCCAGGTCATCATAGGTATGTGTAAATGGTATAGGTATATGTAAAATTTTAAATATATTTTAAGTTAACTGAGAAATATTGAGAAAAAGGAAAAACCCTTGTTTAAATTTTTTTCAATCTACTGTTTTTTTTTTTTTTTTTTTTAAAACTCAAGAAATTTTCCGGAATTTTGACTTGGGCTCACAATCACCCCTGATATACTGAGCTGCATTCAGTGGTAAGGATTTTTAACTCTCATGTGCGACCCTGTTCCATTTTGCAAGAGATTCTCTATTCCAGACTTCATTTTCAATCCTGTGTAATAGAACCGAAAAATCTCTTGAATTTTTGCTGATTATGGGAACCAACTAAACATTATAAATTTTTTTCTATTAGTGAAAGAAAATTTCCCTTTTCCTGTTAATTTCATCGTTTGTGACAAGCCATTGTCTTCGTCACTGTAAGTAAAACCATCATCTGTCAGAAACTTGTCAACCCTGTCTAATTCTGATATTTTTTAAAGTCCTTAAAAATATTTTTTGAGTGCTTGAAAAGTGCTGAAAAGGTGCTAACTTTTTGTTGAAAAATTTGGCTATGCTCTCTGCTTTAATAGATATACAGCAAACTTGGGAATTGAAGTATTTGTGATAACTTACTGAAGTGCCAATAGGAATAAACAATTCTAAGATTTTCTAATTAAAAAATAAACCTGACTATATCAGTACAAAGTATCCTAATTCTATGATGTAACCATCAATATCAGTTTTTAAAATTGAATTCATTGAATTTTAAATCCAAATAAATATATGATGCTTCACTAATATTAAACTGTTATATGTAAATTAATGTTTTGCTTTTAACAAAGAAAGAAATCAGAATTTAAAAAAAAGTAGGGATTTCTAAAACTGAATATTTTTCAATAAGAAATTTTCCAAAAAATTATTTCCATTTTTCTCAAAGATGGGCACCTAAAAAAATAAGACCTAGATCAATCCCAGATGACACCTATTCTTTTTCAATTCAAAAAAATAATGTTGTAAAGGTGCAATTGAGAATATTTTTTTCACCTGCAGAAATTTTGTTATTTGCAACAAAAAAGTGGTTTAAGGAACATTTTTATAATTTTTTGTTTTCATTATTAAGGTGATATAGAATTTCATTGAAATGACCTATTTCCTGAAAATTCATGTAATTCTATTTCTGAAATCAATACAATTTGTATATGTTAGGAAATTGAAGAAGCTTGCAAGAGAATCAAAAGAGAGCTTGATACATTGGGTCCTGAAGTTGGAGAATTAAAATGTATTCCACTATACTCCACTTTACCACCAAATCTGCAACAGAAAATTTTTGAACCTCCTCCTCCAAATAAACCTAATGGTGCAATTGGGAGGAAAGTTGTGGTATCAACCAATATAGCAGAAACATCTTTAACAATTGATGGTGTAGTTTTTGTGATTGATCCTGGATTTGCAAAACAAAAGGTATGGTTATTTTTAGTTTTTTTTTAAAATATAAAATATATTCCTTGTTATAAGCATTAGGAATGTCTTAATATAACAATGGTATACTGGTTAGTAAACTGCAGTAAAATTCAGCAATGGATATTTCATAATTTCTATTAATTTTTTAATCCCGGCCCCCCGAATATCCCTACAAAACTAAAACAGCAAATAATATATATATATATATATCCTTTTTTTTATTATTTTTTTTATACAAACCTGAAAGTTTAAATATTTTATGGGAGCTATTAATTTTTCTTTTCGAACATAACATTTAAGCAAATGGCAGATATTTGTTTTCAATAACTGAAAGACACTTGAGTATTGTGCTGGAATATAATAGGATTTAATAAGCATGCATAATTGCATGCTTGTTTTATTTCCTACATCTGAGCACTTTAATAATTTTTTTGTAATTTCAGTAAGACAAAGAGTAATTAATTCTATTTTCCATTCTAAAACACAATGGTTCCCAAATGATGTTCCACAGAACCCTACAGTTCTATGCACGGAGTTAAAGGGGTGTCAAGAAATTGTGCCTTTTTTAAAATAAAAAATATCATATCTAGCTTGTTATTATATTTAGATTGTTCAATAGTTCATAATTTACTTAATATTTTGGGGGTCTGTGTAAAATTATTTAAAAAATGCCAATGAAAAAATATAATTCTTCTATTAACATATTGAAAAAATATTAAAGATATGCATTTATGGAAAAAAAATTGCATTAGTATTTTCCTTCACACTTTTCAAATTCCAATAAAATAATTAAATTCATTAATGAAGATATGTTTCCCTTATAACCATTTCAAGTGTTCATAACACTTCATATTAGCAGAAACTATTTTATTCATTTATTTTCTTAATTTATTCCTTTATTATAGTTGCAGTTAAAAATTCTAGATTCGGCTCTTGGATTGCAACCTAACATAAAAGCTTAATTTAATAATAAATTGATGGAGAAATTTAATTTCTCTTAAATTAGTAGTTTCATAATAAAATAGTCATTTATTGGTTAATGCATACACAATTGTCTTCATATACTTTGTTCAAAAAGTTAGGGTTCCACCGAAAGAACATTGATTATTTGGGGTTCCATATTTGGAAAATTATGAACGACTGCTATGATGCACTGGCGTCTAAAAATTAGTTCTGTCTTTTGAAAAATTTGAACTATTGTTAATCCATGTTTATATTCTTTTTTCACAGGTGTATAATCCTAGGATCAGAGTAGAATCTTTGTTAGTATCACCTATTAGTAAAGCTAGTGCTCAGCAACGTGCTGGAAGAGCTGGTAGAACTAGGCCTGGGAAATGCTTTCGTTTATACACTGAAAAAGCATACAAGACTGAGATGCAGGAACAAACATACCCTGAGATTTTGCGTTCTAATCTCGGAACTGTTGTTCTGCAATTAAAGAAGCTTGGTATTGATGATTTGGTTCATTTCGATTTTATGGACCCTCCTGGTTAGTACTTTTTTATTTGAAATCTGAGAATATTTGTGATGTGCATATTTAAGTATTTTTAATTACCGTATATTCCGGCGCATTACGCGCCCCGGCGTATAACGCGCACCCGTAATTTCCAATAACTTTTTTTAAATTTTAAGATATACTCTTCGTATAACGCGCACGAAAATTTGGATTGTACATGTGCAATATCTCGTCTAGTATCTATAGAAAACCAGAAAGCCTTTTTGTGTGGGACATGTTTTGTTTTGAAAGTATGTAACACCGATATGGCAGTTATTCCGGGCGGATTGACACCATTAGTTCAGCCATTGAACGTCTGCTTAAGCAAACCATTTAAAGCAATTTTAAAAAAAGCAGTGGAACACTTGGATGTTGGAGGGCCTTTACGAAAGGAGGACATATGCGTCATGCAAGTTTGGAAACAGTGGATATTAAATGTATGGGATGAAATTAAGCCTGAGATGGTTAGAAAATCATTCAAAAAATACAACATTTCAAATAATCTGGATGGATCAGAAGATGACTGTTTATTTATGGATGAGGGTAACACAGATGATGAAGACGAAACAGATTGTGATGACGTGCCTAAAGAAATAAAGGAAGACGAACATAATGAACTATTTACGTAATAACGAAAATCAATAAAGTATATAGGTAAAGGTATGTCATTTCTTTAAAATAAAAGTATTTTTCTATATTTAAATTTTTTAATCTATAAATTTTTATGTTTGGCGTATACCGCGCATCCGAAAATTCCAATGTTACTTTTCGCATTAAAAGTGCGCGTTATACGCCGGAATATACGGTATGTTATATTAATACATTTTATATAATGATTGTGAAGTTAGTTTTTGATAAGTGTTACGATTTTAAGTTAAACACACATGTTCCATTGAATTAATCTCACTACAATCAATTAAGCATATATTGGATCAGGAAAAAAGTAATTTTGTTTTTAATGTGGAATAAAATTCAATTTTCTTTCCACTCGAAAAATGAATGTTTTGCATAATTTACACTAACAAAACAACTGTCCATATTTATAATTGAAGTCAAATATCTAGGTTTTTTCCTATTATAACTTCAATAGTTTAAATGAGAAGTTTATGATAACTTCAAAAGTTGAAAGTTAGCAACAAAAAAAACTTGAACTACCTTTGTTAAATTGTTACCTTTGTTAAAACTTATTTTAGTAAAATTGTCGTCCATTTTCAAAAAAAAAAGCTAATATTAAATAATAATTTTTTGAAGTAGCTGAAGTTTACACATTTTTTGAAGTTGCACAAGTTTGTATCCATTTATATTTACTTGCAAGATAGATTTGAATTTTAGAATGGATAAAATTTAGTAATTGAGATTCATATAATGTTGTAAAGAAGAAGAAAAAGAACATGCCGAAAGTTTTAATTTAGTAAATAAAGCAATTGTAATTCCAAAAATCGATAAATTAACTTATCTATGAAATATATATAATCCTATTTAAAGTAGCATTACTATGATAGTAATTTTAGTTGACGATTTTCAGTTTATAAATTTATAATTTAAATATTAGCTTGAAATATGATAAAACAACAGATATTTCAACAAAGGGCAAATTTCTGCTCTTAACTTTGGTGGCTATTGGAAAAGCTATTTTTGTTCCTTAGAAATTATTGCTTGATAAGTCTTAGTTATTTTATAAATATTAGTTTCTAATATTGAAATGATTGAGATGTATTTTTATTATTTACTTTTTCTAAATCACTAAACATAACTGAAATTTAAACAAATTGAAAAGAATTTGCGTATTATTTTAATAACATTGCAATTTTATGATGTATTTATTTTATTTGTAATGTAATTCTACTTTTCAATTTATTTCCATGAAGCTTCATTAAATTCTTTATAAAAAATTTTGCTGATACCTGTTTTTATAAGTTGTCAAGTATGCAAGTGCAGCACAATATGCCACTCACTATATTTTAAGCTTAAAATTCCCGTGATGATTTTAGTCCATTGAAATGATAAGGAGAAACTGGGAGTTGAAAATTTCTCTCAGTTCATCCCCCAGTCACATGATTTTACTCTGGAGACAAGAATTATCTTGCAGTGGGCATTTTCTATCTTTATGGATATGATGTGATGTACTGGCATGTAAAATATAACGTTTAAAATTGATTGAATTGCACTGTAATGGGAACAAACTTTTACTTTAATTTTTAGCTCCTGAAACATTAATGAGGGCATTAGAACTGTTGAACTACTTACAAAGCTTAAACGATGAGGGAGATATTACAGATCTGGGAGCTGTAATGGCCGAGTTTCCATTAGATCCACAACTGGCTAAAATGCTTATCTCATCATGTGACTTTAACTGTTCCAATGAAATTCTTTCAATTACTGCTATGTTATCAGGTATTATGGAATTTTACTTAGAAAATAAAATTTTTATTATTTTTAAATGTATTGTGTTGATTTGTAATCTTTTTAATTATTAGTTTCAATATAAATTGTTGAGTTTTTAGTATAGAAACTATGAATGCATTAAATTAAACAACAGTGTGTATTAATGGTGAAAATGCTATCTGTAATAGACCATAATTCTTGCAAAAGCTGTGCAAAAATTTCTGTTAATAATTTATCTAGATACTATACTACTTGCTGGCTAAATTTACAATTTTTTGTTTAGTATTATCAGATTGGTTTATTTTATATTGTACAGCACTACAGCCTGCTGTGATCCATTTACTGCCGAACAATGTAGCTCCAAATTTTCCTATTTTTGGCATTCAACTTCCAGGTTTTTCACCTTCAAGGTGGTTAAATCATTTGTTGCATCATTCAACCATCTTTTTTTTTGGTTTTCCCTTTGTTCTCAAGTTTCCATTTTAAAAGTTTTCTTAGATTTCTATTATATAATCTTCCAATATTCCTCAGCCATACCTAATGCCTGAATTTTAAAAAACAAATTATATTTTTTCATTTGATTAAGTGGTCAATTCACTATTGTTTCTTATTCTCAACTTATTATTTACTTGAATTGGTCCAAAAATTCTTTTTAAATTTTCCTTTCAAAGATTACTAGATTAGATTTGTCCTGATTTGTTAAAGTCTAAATATCTACAGGTGTCTAACGAGTGACCTGTCCGTCATGGTTGATTCTATTCCTCTTAGCTCTCTAGGTTCAACTCACCACTGCAAGGTGGAACCACGGAGTGAGGGATTGCGCTTATATGGCTTATTTTCAATTTGCATCTGGATTTTTTTACCGAAATTTTTTTATTTAAAAACTAATGGCAAGTTACTTAACCTCTGCTTATGGTGCTTACTATGGTGAAGCCAGTAAGCCAGTTTGAGCTGTAGTTTATAATTCCAGTTTTTTGTAAGAATTGACCATTACACACAAAAAAACAAAAACAAAAAAAACAAAAAACAATTGCGGCAGCAGTAGATTATGATTGCTCTAAAATGTTCCCCCTTTTATTCATTTTTTCCCACTTACTTATTCTACTTACTTTTTTGGCAAATATTTTGTTGAGCTCTATTTACATTTTATAAGAATGTAAATATTTTAATTTTCAATTAAAAGTTATTAGTTGCCCCCTCCAACTATGGAAATTGGTGTTAGCTCCAGATTTGTTTAACGCAATATAACATGTATATTATACAATCTAAATATTTATTTACAATATATCTTACCTTTCATTGTCATCGCATTTGGCTCGACAGCTTAAGGTGAGCCAAGATCTTCTTGTTAAAGATATCCCCGCAACATCCTATATTTAAACCTAAATTACCGTTTTTTACTTCAGCCTTTAAATATTATTTTATTTATTGAGTGGCTAGAGTATTTAGTGTTTTAAAAGATTCTGCATGTTTTTCCCGTTTTACATATAAATTAAATAGCTATGTCTACAGCTTAATTGAAATTATTTTTATTAACTACCAAGAATTTAATGTTTTCATAGTTTTTTTATTTTAATGTTTGTAAAAGTATTTCATTACACATCATCGTCAAAGCTAGTTGTGAATTGCAACCGATATCAGTAACTTGTGAATGGGCTAGCCTCTAAAGTATTCCATAAAGAGCTCTCATCATAAAGTCCTAGATATCGCTTTGCCAGAGACATCAGTTATTTAAATGTCTTTTTTAGTTTCCATATTGTGTAAATAATCCCACTTTATATTTTAAATGCTACTTTTTGTTATGAAGAAAGTTTTTTTCTCTCTTACAGTAAAAGTGTGTTTATAACTTGATAAAATTATAATGTTTACATAAATTTAATTTTTTTTCTTTTTTCAATTCTGATGCTAATTTAATGTTTTATAATGTTTGAAACAATTATTTTTAAAACTAATAAAAATATTTTCATAGTTAAAAAGTGACATTTTATGCACGTTTGTGTGAACTATCACAGATTTAGAATTTTTTAAAAAACATTTTTTATTGTCTGACAAAAGTTTTTTAAACGTTCATTGTTAAATAAGAAAAGAAAATTTTCTGTTAAAAAGATTTTACTTTACATTTAAAGTTTAAATTGTTTGCAGCTTTCTCAATTTAAAATTATATATATATATATATATATCAGTTATTATAAATATAAATATTTTAAACAAGAATTAAAATTACTGATTTATTTTCCATTATGTTAAAAACATTTTAAAATCTAGTTATTTAGTTTTTTCATCTTTCTTCAAACAAAATATTTTATTAAATTGTTCATATGTTTTTGTATTTAGTGTTCATTTTTTAAAAATTAAATGTGGGCTGTTCATTTAATTGTTTTGTTAAGATAGTTGAAACTCAAAAATGCAACAGCTTTTTTTTTTTTTTAGATTATACACTTATTATATGTTACAAATTGATTGCATTAAGATTTAATATGAAATTGTGGTTTCGGCCGAGGTTTTTCTTTGAGAAATATAAATAGCTTTTATAATAGTAAAAAAAAATTTTTTTTTTTAAGTGTGCTATGAGTATACATTTATTTTATCATTTAGGAAAATTATCGTAACTAATTATCATGATTTGCTATTAGAAAATTCATTTTAAAAAGTTTTAAGTATATTTCTGAATCATTGCTTAAAAGATCTGACCTCAAATTTTTCTTTGGGATAATTTTACATTCCACACATTAATGTTTTAATTTTTTAAAATATTTTTACCCTCTTACTCAAAAATGGGTTCCGATAAGAGTTAATTCAAGATAAAGTACTTTGTGATGTTTGCTTGAAAAAGGTGTATTTATTTGAGACATCTTTTTCTAGAAACCTTAAACAAGTGTTCTTGTTTAGGGTATGTGCGTATTGCTTTACATACACATTAAGTTTAGTGGATGTGGGGCTGCTCCTTTTTGTATTTTGTGCGGCCCCCCCACCCAACACTGTTTAGTTCCACAGTGCTTTGTGAGACCCAATGAAGCAAAGAAAGCTGCGGATGATGCTAAGATGAGATTTGCACATATCGATGGAGACCACCTGACTCTTCTAAATGTTTATCACGCCTTCAAGCAGAGTAAGTCTCCTCTTTTATGTATTTATTTATTTTTATCTATACAGTAAACATTTAACTATTATAGTGTTAAGGCAGGAATACATTCATCCTAAAAAATTGATGGTTCAATCTATTTTCTGAAAATATGTATATTTAAAATGTGCCCGTTTCTGGAAGTAAAAATGAATGTTTGAAAGTATAAAAGGAATTTTTTTTTTCATTAGCATGCTAACTCTTCTATTCTCAGTTGATGTGAATACCTTTTCTTTTAATGGGTACAGTGCCCAACTGCACAAAGTGCAACAATAACTTGAGGCTTCTATTTCGACATTTTTTATCACTGTAAATTAATGTTTCTCTTTTTTTTATCTCCATTTTTATTAAGCTTAAATGCATTTATGACTGTCATTGAAATTGAAATTAGAACTAGTAAATTAATAAATCATAATTTGTATTTTATAGTACAGTACAGAACCCGTTATCCGGAAATCAGAAAACCAAAAAACCAGAACGAAATTCGATACATTTTCCCGCTATTTAAAAAAATAATAATAATTCCTCATAAGATTTTAGGATTTTTCTTTCTTTTTGGAAAGATGTTTACCTTACTATCATTTTGGAAATAATGATTAGTGTATTACTTCGTTTTTCTTCTTTTTAAGATTATTTCCAAATATTAATTTTTTTTAGTTGGGTTTAACAGTAAAAAAAACTGCTTTTTGTAGCGATTCAGAAAACTGGAAAAATCAGTTATCCGGAATATCGATGGTCCCGATCGTTCCGGATAATCGGTTCCCTACTGTCGGAGTTTGCGATTCAGATAGCATAATTACACTTGGCAGTTCATATTTGTGACGTCTCTCCTTTATGTGTGATGGTTTAACCTCGGTTCGCTCAATTATTCACTCGCAAGGATAGCAAGAGCTTTTCATATATAATATTTTAATTTAGTATTTTATTTAGTCTTTATATTTAGAGTTAAATATCAACAGGTACATAAACTACATAACGTAACTCTGGAGCTCTATTGCTCCCTACTCCATCTCTGCATCCAGTCTCTCTCGTCTCAGCCTTCAATCTAAATTTCAAATCTTTTTTCTCACAAAAAATGTCCTTCACTTCTCCTTACTCCACCCCCACACTAGGGGAACGACACTTCCTGTGTCCCTTACCCCCTGACCCTCAGGTCAGGGGTCAATCTAATGCGTGGGAGAGGAATCAGAATCGTGACAATATTATTGCGATCTAACATATTTATGAATCTCATCGTGTTTCAAATTAATAAGATTCTCGTCTTGCATATTGTTATTTGTTATAACATGATTGTGAAGCATGAGTTATAATTCATATGGGCATGATTTAATTACAATTCTTACATAATGATTAGTAAACAATATTTCCAATTCATATAAGTGAAATTAATTGCAAACCTGACTTCATGACTACAAATCTGAATTGCATTTCGCAGCTTATATTCACACGATTTTGAAGCACGATTTATCTCTAACTTCATGCTTCCATTTTTGATTTTTTTTCTTTTAGTTTGTTAAATTACAAATTATTGTTCAGTATAATAACTTTTTAAGGAAATTTGTTCTGAATTTTTTAGAAATTTCTGTCTACTTTTTTTATTGTCCAATAGCTTTCTCTTTATATGTTTCTTCACACTTTTACTTTTGGGGATGATTATATAATCAGAGGTCCGTATGGGCTGAATTTACTACCGTTTAGCGGTACCTTCACAAATTCAACTTTAGGAAAAAGGGTAGTTTCACAAAATACTTTTTCTTAAAATTTTATTTTTATATCCCTTAANTTTCTTTAATTATAATACATTTTTAACATCTTCTAATTTTTAAAGCATTGAATATTTTTGCTGCATCATCATATGCAAAATGTTCTACATCTACTTTTTCATCAGCTATTCTCATTAGGTTGCTCAAATGAGTGTTTGTTTCGTTTTGATCGTTTCTACCCACGTTTGTTTCATTTTCATTTGTCCGTTTCGTGGTAGAAGATATTGCCTTAACAAGGCATTTGTCCATCTTACATTAATGGGCAAAAAATTTGAACTTCTTACATGGAGAAACCTTAACTACGGTAAACGCGTGGTAGCAGAGAAATGCGTTCTGAAAGAGGTTTCGTGTTTCGGAGGGATGGTGTTCTGTTGTTCTTAAAGGTTCTGAACAATACAGGTAAATAGGGAAGCTAGATAATGGACAGATGTTGAAAATAATGAAAGATCCAGGAAGAAAAATGTAACGGATTTTATTCTAAATTTGTGCAATGAGAAATTTTTTTCAAAATGCGAGAAATTCGTGAATTTTGAAATTGGTTTATAGAATGCGCGAATTTCTCGCGGTAATCATTTTTTAATGCGAGAAAAGAAAAAATATGCGAGATTCTCGCGTTGTAGTGAAAACACTGCTTCACAAATTCAACTTTAGGTAAAAGGGTAGTTTCACAAAATGCTCTTTCTTAAAATTTTATTTTTATATACCTTAAGAAACGATAAATCCCTATTTTTGTGATGATTTTTTAATATAATTTTTTAATTTTTCACAAAATAGGTACCTCTCAGAAAAACCTAAATAGACCCCTGAAAATGCAAAAAATTTCTTAATGGTTTGATTTGTATTTTAATTTATGTATCATGTGCAAATTTATCATGACTAGGATAAATAAACAAGATTAACTTTATAGTAATACATATAATTGCAAAGCATTGCAAGTATTGAGTTTGTGAAATTCACAATTTATCTTATGGCCACACTTGTTAGTTATTTCAACTTTTTTATGGCTTTTTGCAGTTAGAAAATTTCCAATTTGGCTTAAAATTATTTATATGTATTGCTTAATATTTGTTTTTTTTACAACAACAACACATAAAACTATTTTGTTGCACACAAAAGGTTGACAAGTTATACCTATTCAACTCCTTCAGTGGTACGTATTATCTTTGCAAACAGTAAGATTTGTTATTTTCTTTTAAAAGTTTATTTCATTAACAATTCTTGTTTGGGAAAAAAATTAATATAAAGAAGTAGTAGCTTAGAAGTTATTTATTTCTGAAATAGTTAATTCTAAAATAGTTCTTTTATAAGTTCTTAATTAAGAATTATTATAAATTACAACTATAATATTCTAAAAATGTCACCTGTTTTTTTCCACTAAGTTTTTCAATTAATATACCTGAAACAATTTCAATTATTTCATTCAACATTTGTTACATTTCTGGATTGCTCTACGTTATTAGATTAAGTAAAACACATTTTTCCATAATTTTATTTTAAGTTTTTAGTTTAAAGGTTTCAGCCTTACCAACTACCAAAATAAGTCTTTCATTTTCGAAATTTCAGAAAAGAGCAATACTTAATTACATTTTTAAAAAAATTACTGTATTATACACTAATAATTTCATATCAATATGGCTAAAATTTACTTTCATTTATTTTACAATCATTTATCAGATTGTGGTTATTCTGTTTTCTATTTTTTATTTAATCTGCATTTTGTTAAAGTAGTTAATTTTGATAATTTATGAAAAATTAATTCCTTGTTTAATATTTTTTTAAAATTTTAAATTCGTCAAAAAATTGAAATGTAAACGTGTTGTAGAAAAAATGTGTATATATACTATGTAAATGTTCCTAAAGTTGAAATTTATTAAAGCGGCTTTTGTTCTTTATCTATTCTAAAATATTTTAATTGTATATATTTTTAATAATTCAGACCATGAGGATCCTCAATGGTGCTACGACAACTTCATCAATTATCGATCTTTGAAAAGTGCTGATAATGTCCGTCAACAATTATCTAGAATTATGGATAGATTCAGTCTGAAAAGGACATCTACTGAATTCAGCAGCAAAGATTATTACATTAATATTAGAAAAGCACTGGTTGCTGGCTTCTTCATGCAAGTTAGTATCTCAATTGATAATTTTCTACACTTTGGTTGATGACTTAGTTATCAATGTTTCTTAGATATGTCATTTCAGAAATTTTTTAACTAATACAAATTGAAATTTAAGAACTTTGATTGTTAAAAAATGCAACTTTGATTGTTAAGAAATGCTGTTATATTTTGCATATTAATAGCAGTTTTATTCTTTAAACTTGGGATGCATAACCTTTTTCAGTGAATGGCCACGTGCACAGCAGGTTAACTAACGAAGGGCCGCACACGTATTTAGATATTTTGAGGCAAACATATTAAACATAAGTGTTCTAAATGCTAACTTTTTTATGACTTAACTTAGTAATATATTTGTAAAATATGCAGATATAATGTGCTTGCAAATTTATCTTCTGGAAGACTAATAGAAAAACGAAATTTGAATTGAAATTTTTGTATTGTAATATCATACTAAAAATATTGGGTTTCTTTAAACCGTGCGGAAAAATTGAGCACATCAAAAAGTTATAAAAAGAGAGATTTAAAATTCTCAATAATTTTTTTTTTGTTTTTTAATTTTTGGAGGAAAAATTTTCTTTGTGTTAAGAAGCTTCTGCGGGGCTCACATCAGCAGTTGGTTGGCGACGTGTGGCCCTTGGGCACAGGTTGTGCACCCCTACTTTAAACAATGCAGAAAGTAGTTTTTTCTCCATTGTTAAGGAATTTGTCTAGTCTACTGTTCCTGATAAAAGTTTAAAAAAGCTTTTTCAACAATCTTGACTCTAAACATCAATATTGGTTACTCATGCAATAAACCTATAGATGTTAAATCTGACTTATATAGTTATTTAAATGAATGGTTAGTGATGTAAGAATTGACTTATAGTGTCTGCAAACGCTAATAGTTTTATGATTAACATAATTTGATGTGATTCTAAATTTCACCTATTTTTTTCCCTCGTTCATTAAAGAGTTTTGCTCACAAATCTGCAAGATTGTTTAATTCAAATTTTGGGACTTAAATATAAACAGATTGCTACATCTAAATGTAAAAGTATTGAATTAAATTATCCCAAACTGTTTTATTGTATTAACGCAGATTTAGGTAAGTTAGGTTAGGATTTGGATAAAGTTTAAACCTAATCAATTCACTCAGATATCACTACAATTGCATCTACAATTTCCTGTGTAGTTTTTGGTTATTTAGGGGGAAAATCATATTGTTATATTAGTAATTTAGAATGTTTAATGATTAATAGTCTAAAAAGTTAATTCTTAATGATGTTATACAATTTTGTATTTACTATTTGTTGCATATTGGCTAAGCATTCTTTAAAAAATATGTAACTTATTTGTTCATTTTTATATTGTATTATTGTTAATTGTAATCATAAATAACAATACAATATAACAATAAACAATTTAGTTATATTCATTGTAACATTGTTTATGTTTATCATGAAATGTCACATAATGAAGGTAATATCATAGGAATAACAACGAAATACTGCCTTTAGTTTAGGATTTTAATTTGAAAAAATAATCGAAATCAACAATGTAATAATAGCGGAGAGTATATTGAAAAAAATAATACAGGTACTTAATTTTCATGATAATGATACCCAAAGAAATCTGGATTTTCATGTGATTATACCATAAAATTTATCTATCTAATAAGCATGCACTGTCATAAAGTTTTTTAAAAAAATAAATCAATTCAATTCTATTATTGGTTTGAATTTTCAACTGAGGCATATTTTATGTTAGAAATCTTGTTATGCAAAGTAGCACAACCATTTTTGGGTAGTAAGCCGTAAAAGTTACTAAATACAGAGTCAGAGGACCAACATTAAGATAATGCTGTAACTATAAACATGTGAGAAATACTTAGATTCTGTTTAAAAGTAGTTAGATTCTCTTTGAATAAATTTAAACTATTATACTTATTAGATCAAATTATGATAAACTTATCTAGGCATTGGCTTACAAGAAAAAAAAAGGACTGAAATTTACATTCATCCTTAAAGTTAACTTTCACCATGGTTCAGAATAGTGTCAAATTAATATGATGACTGTTGCTAGAATTTTGAAATTATTTACTTAATTTACAAATTTATAAGTTATTATTCACTAAAAACATTGAATCCATTGCATAAATAGAACTTTCGTAATGAAACTTAAATTTTCGCATTCTCATAATTTGAGAAAGGCTATAAACTAAACTAGTAACTTTCTGTTTTTCTTTTGTATTTTTTATTCATAATTTAGACTGTTCAGGGACCAAATTAAAAACCTTTGGGAACCATTTTTGGGCCATAGGTTGTGCATCCCAGATGCACAACCTATGCAACCAGCATAAATAGTTATATTTTAATGGGTTCTTTTTTCTTCTTCCAGGTTGCTCACCTTGAAAGAACTGGCCATTACCTTACAATCAAAGATAATCAAATAGTTCAGCTTCACCCATCCACTTGTCTAGATCACAAACCAGAATGGGTTGTATATAATGAATTCGTCTTGACTACCAAAAACTACATTCGAACTGTCACAGATATTAAACCAGAATGGTACGTGTCTTTCAATACAATTTTGAATTGAAGAGGTTGTTTTTTTTCTAAGTCTGTCTTTATATGAAATTACGCACTTTGGGGAATAATATGCTATTTTCATAACTGCTTTGCGTTTGTAACAGTTATTCATGGTTGCAAGGTAAGCCTACCTTCAGCCAGTGCCCTTTATGCTCATTTTGAAAATGGCACAAAACTTCAAAATGAAGAAAAGCCATGTGCTTACGAAAATCATTTGTGATCTAATTTTTTTTTTATTTAAAAGGTTACCTGGCATTTTTTAGAAAAGATAAAATTTATTGCTCCATTTTAAAGCCAACATGATTTGTTAAGAAAAGTTGGTTTAAAATTCTAGCTTACGTGTAGGGCACTTAAATTGTGGCTCCGTCATATAGAACACACACAAATAGTTTTATTCATATACACAGAGATGCCAACTTGCTCCGTACTGCGAATAAATATTTTCAAGTGGTAGTTTATTAATTGTGATTCTTAATTTAATAAATTCAATTTAGTAGATTTTTATCTACCACTATTTTTAAACAATTCATAGGCTTATATAATTCCACTTTTTTCAGATATGTCATGCTAAACCTTTTAAAAAACTATCAATATCTGTCTAATATTTGCAAATTTATTTTGTAGTTATTTACTGTTTGGCCAGATGGGCAAGCCGTGTAAAATTAACATGGCATTCAAAACGTTAAGGAATATTTAAGTACACTTAACTGATTCTATGCAATTGTCATTTTAATTTTTATATTATTGAAATATTAATATTGTTAGTCTTTGCATAAAAAAGGAAAGCACATCGATTTGTAATAAACCTCTAATGTTTCTAAAAATTCCTTCCACGTCTTTTGAAAGTAATGTACTTAATTTGTTTTTGTGCTCTGCCAAGTATTTTTTTCTATCTACTCGAAATAAGTTTATAAAACATTATAATTAATTATTTTCCTTTTATTCATTTACGTTTTGTTTACAAATTAGTTTTGCAGATGTTTTTTCCCCCTTTTATGATGCGTGGTGAAACATTTCTTTTATTTATATATTCTCTTTTATCTATGTGAGCAAACTGAACAAAATTTAATCTGAACATTTGAGTTTATTACAAAGCTTTCCGTTGCTTTAGAATTTGATTTTAATCACTTTTGTTGCAATTTATGCGTCTAACGTGTGTGAATTCTATTTAAGGTTACTGAAAATAGCATCCTTATATTATGATGTGAATAGCTTCCCATCTTGTGAAGCCAAGAGACAGCTTGAATTCCTTGTCAACAAGATGTCAACTCGAAATTACCAAGAAGGATTTTAATGTTTTGTGTCTCTTAAGAACTGTTTTTATTGATAATAACTCATATGGCGAACTCACTTGTAACAATATAGAATCATAATGTGTTTCTTTTTTTGTACATTATTTAATTATGCATTTCTGAATTTGTATGACTTATGGGAACATTTTTGTTTTATCATTAAAAGGCAGATCACATTTAGTTTGATACTTATTTTATTGGACTTCTTTGTTCTACACCTTTAAATGTTTACCTTCTGTTCTCCAATTTTCACCCAGAAAACTTCCGGCAAAACAAATTGCTTTAAGTGCAGAAGATTGTACAGTATTTATTAGTTATTCAAATAATCAGAAATACAGTAACTGCAATGAAGTGTATTTCACAAGTAGGATAGAATATTTTAACACAATCAACTCAGTTCAAAATTTTAAATAAATATGGCCCTTTCCTTTATTTTGTACCATCAGATGATTAGCATCACATGCTTTAACTAATGACCTACAAGATAGATCCGGCTGCTGCATAGCAAAAATAGGTACAAGTACAAAATAGTATATTTTTAATACATAAAACCCTTATAACTTCTTATCGGTTAGCCTGATCGTCCCGGGATAGGTCTCATTCAATTATATTCAGTGGAAGAACATACATTAGAAAACATGCTTCACTTGCTTGGTAATTCTTCACCACAAATCACCACTATTTCCTTTTTAAAAAAAAAGGAGGTAGGGAAGCAGACATAAGAAAGTAAGGGAGCTTTTAATTATCATTTATAATAACCTTAAAAAAAACTATAGAAACAAATATTAGGCATATATATTTCCGAGTCCAATTTTACTGGACTATAAAAAGATACGGTATAAGAATTTCATATTCTCAGTATTATCTTCTAACGTTAATTAATTTTCTATTACAAGTTGGAAATCAAATTTAGTTTTAAATTTATTAATGCATTTCTAAGTTTTAAATATTTTAACGCAACATATGTTGATTTAAATATCTATAAAGCATTAGTATCAGACCCTAATTTTAAATTTAACCTCACTTCAATTTGTCAATTTTGAACACCCCCATGGAAAAGTTATACCTACGTGCTTGCTTAGCATCATAATTAAATGAAGCTAATTAAAATAAATCAGATGTTAAAAGATGCTGTGGGATTAATAAAATTACAAACTATTTAGAAAAACAAACAGTTTAGAATTAAAATTGAACATACATAAAGATATTTAAAAATTATACTATTTTATAATCAAAATTAAATAATTTTTTTTTCAAAACTAAATTAGTTACCGAATGCAAATTTTAAAAATTATCGCATAACAAATTTAATCAACAAAAGAAAATAATTTATACGATGAAAATAACCAAAAAAAAAGAAAGAAAATTGCAAATAAACAAAAGTAAGTTATAATTAAAACTAAATTAGGTTTTAAAGTGCAAGAAATAAAAAAAATAAAGAAAAACCATTCCATGTATAAAATCACTAAATGTTTCAACCCATTCTGCCTTGAATAATACTCAGCAAAATAAATAATGCCATTTATTATGGAAATGAATTATTCATAAAGATCCATTCAAAATTATTAAATTTTTCTCCCATTGCCAGTTATCAGGTTATCTCCATGGCTTATGTGATAATGAGGATATATCTTATTTTGAAAGAAAACAAGTATTTGATATTCAATTATTGATAATAACAATGCAACAAAAAACTTGAAAGAATATAACGATTGGCTGGATTTTAATATTTAATAATAATGTAACAGTTGGAAAAATTTTTTCATGCTTAAAAAAAATAATAATCAATACTACATTACTTGGGCCGTGATAGCCTGGTCGGCAGGGCGCTGGGCCCATGTCCGAGAGTTCGAACCCTGCCGGCCGAAGTTGGTGACTGATGCACATTAAAATTCTGTCGAGTCGCAAAGTCCTCCATGTTCCCTTACCAAATCAATACCTCGGGGGGTACTGGATTGGAGAGCGATCGTTCTCTGATTCAGGTCAAAATTACGATCTGTGGATGTATGAATGGATCCGCCTTGTAAACAGGTGTGACGTATGATGTGGCAGAAGTCGGATTCTTGGTCATAGATGGCGCCACTGAAAAGCAAGAGTACACTCTGCCCAGGAGGTGATGGCCGGCCACGCTCTCGAACCATGGTTAAAAAATTAAGATAAGTTTTTTTTTTATTCTTTTAATATATATATGTATATATATATATTATAATATTTAATAATTTAAAATTATGATTAATTGTTAGACCTGATTTGTAAGTTGTATTGGCAGTAACCATTATTTCTTAAATGTAATCTGATATTTGATTTATTCTTAATTTCTTTTAAATAAACTATATTTAATTTTCAGTTAATTACAAATTGTTATATTATAAATAGTAATTGTACTAGTTAAATTTAATTTATCTTATAAGTCTTATTTACTTTGTTGTAACTGGTAAATGAAAGTACATTAATTGTAAAAACTGACAGAACGCTATGTCAGCATTAAGATTCCTTAATAATTTTGTTAATTTCACATCCAGATACAACAATACAGAGCTATCTGGACATTTGCTTAGGGCAACCATAAAGTTGCAAAAATCTGTCATCTCAATCATTAACAAGCATTTCAACCAATTTCCACCACTGTGGTGTACTGAATTTTTTGATTACATCAGTATTAAACATGCTTGAAGAAAATATTTTCGAGTCTTTTTAGCTTATAGCTCATGAGGGGAATCAAACATTTTGGGTGTTCTGTTTCTAACCACTCCTCAGCTTTTTGTAACATATCAGTGGTTAATCTTTTACTATATAATTAGGATCCATAATGAGTTGGGAGAAGAGCTTGGTTCATCCTTTTATCAATTTGCTTTTTATAAGGGCAAAGATTTTCACTATTAAATGTATCAAGGCAAAGCTCAACGGCAGTAGATATATTGGTATTTTCTGTCTGCATCAGATTTAATACTTCGCTCAGTTCTGATAATTGTTTTTGGTGCAAGGCTTCTATATATATTATATTGCAACATGTCCAAAATCCGTATAATGTTTGTAGGAATTTCTACTATAACTTCAGTTGATATTTATACATACTTATGGTAATTCTTAATGTATGTATCAATACAATAAATTTGAGAATTCCAAAATGTAGATTTGATAATATCCATAATATGATTGTAATCTCATCTGCAAGGAGATTAATATAATGCGCAGAGTACCAATATGTTACAATACCCTTGTGTTTCTCTTCAATAAGTTGCCTTAGTTTTACAATTTTATTTTCATTATAGGTACATATTGCAAAAACCTCTAAGCCCCAATTATTCTTACAATGTTCGATATCTTTTTCTGCTAATTCTGCACAGTATTCTGATGTTTTTTGTTACTTTTACAATCAACAGCATTTCATAAGAATGAAGAGTTACCTGTATGAACGCATGTTGCAAGTACTGCATCCCTATTTACATTGGACCGTTCATCTAATAATAATGTAACAGTAATACTTTGCATTTCTTTCTTAATTTCTGCTTATATTCTCATGTACTTCATCTAACAGTTTCCCTCCTAAATCAGGGCGAGTAGGGCCAGAATAACCTGGTCTCATAGCTGACACGATTTCTTTAAATTCCATAGTCGTGGCAACATTGAAAATAATATTATTTACATGAAAGAACTTGGCAACTTTTAAATCCAAATTATTATTTTATTTTTTTTACTATCTGTTGTGCTTACGTCATGCATTGTCGCTAAACTCTACTAAATTCACCCCCTTCAGTTTCAGGTGGAGTATGTATTTCACTTGTAGGCTCAGCAGCTATAGGGCAAGTGTATTCTTAGGATTGCCCAGAGATCTTTTTAAACACTTGTTTAGATGAGCTCTAATTCTTTCAATTTTTGCACTTATTTCTGTTTTACAGTGATTGCATAAACATTTCCTTTTATTCTCAAAGTTCAATTTAGTTATCTCCCAACATTCTGGAGCACTTCTTCTACCACCTCCATTAGACATTTTTAGAATTTAAATTATGTATGAAAGCACAATGATCAAACAAAATTTAGTAACAAGCTAAGCATTAAGTAGAAAACCATCAAGTATCTGGTACAGTATTTTATCTACTGCTCAAGCACAACTGACAGAATTTCAGGTGAAATGTGCAATAACTGGTAACTCCCACCCCTACAGCTTTTGCACCAATTTATTTCTATTAATTACACTTTAATTACATATATATTAAGTCAATTCATAAAAAAACATAAGTACTAATATTAATATAAGCTTTTTTAAAATAAGGTACCTATCCCTGCCCTCTCTTTTGAATAAAAACCCCAATAAAACATGAAAATCCCACCCAGGTTGGGTTTTTCTGGAAAAACGGGTTTTTGCAGCCCTGGCTTCTCGGAGGTTACGCCCTGCCCCTGCTTCCAATTCATCAATCAAAATTCGTACTGCCCATGATGTACGATTGCTGAAACTTCTGCTATACCAGGACCAGCCCGAAGTACTTCAAAACAGTAGAGGAGAGGAGGTCAAAAAAGATTCTATCTGTTGTCAAGAATTTCACCCTATAACTTGCCCAACAAAAAAGAAAATCGCGTAATTTATTTTTCTCCTGTTTGAGCTTGTGCATAAGTTCATTTCAATTCTACTTTAGTTTTAGCTAGCTTTTAGAAAGGGATTAAGATATTTAGAAAAGGATTTATAAACCATATTTATTTTTTTAAAGAAATTTTAATGTTCATATAGATTAATCTAATATTTAAATTGAATTTTTAATATATTAAAATTAACCACAATGGCGACTGTTAGAACGGACATAATTTCTCATTCTGAGAAAATAAATGTGTTCAAAATATAAAAAATCCGTGGAGATGGGATTGGTTAGAAAAGAAAGTGGATGGTGTTTCCGTCCAAGAAGTTATCAGAAAATTAAACACAAGTGGTAAAGCTTATTTCGTCGTGCTCTATAATGACATATGACATGGCTCAAGAGAACTTCGGTATGTTATCAAATTCGATTAGGATTTAAATGCAAGATAGATTTAAAAATAAAATAAAACTGTTGTGTTGAAGCATAAACCTTTATTTTAATTCACATCCTGGTCCAATTCTTTCAACACTTAATATTCAAAGTTTATTTTATCACTTTCTTTCAGTGTACAATCAAGTGTTTAAGAAACACTTGATTGTATGGTAATCGGTTTGAATCTTTAAGCAAAGTTAAGTAGAATAGTATTTATTAAGTGCATTTTTAATAGATTTTATTTTTAATTGAAATAAAAGAACATAATTTTATAAATCATTATCTACTCATATTTAAGCTGTTTTTTTTCTTCTTTTCCTATTTCCTTTTAACCTGAAATTGATTATCTTAAGATTATATCTACTTGGAATAACATAAATTTCTAAGAAAACCAAACTACTACGGAGCATGATAAGCAAATAAATTAATCTGGAAAAGAAAAAAAAAGCAGAAAGAGGCGATCCCTTATCAAGTGTTGAAACAAATAATTTGAGGCTATATGAACTTGGGAATTTTCCCATTAACTCTTATCTCTCTTAATAACGGTGATAAGGGCGGGAAAAGAAATAAATACGTATTTTTAAAGTTTGTTTGCAAAATCTCGTAATTTTTTTCCAACAAGCTCAATATTTGATTATTATACTTTTATCAAATATTAATTTTATTATTTTGATTTTTCACTAGCACGAAGTCAACGAGTTTTCATGGTATGTAAAAAGTCTTTGAAATTTTTGTGTCTCTTATATTTAATATTGATTTAACAATTTTAAAAAATCGTGAAAGTTCTGTGTCGAATTCAGGGACCGTCCACTAATTCTTCAAAACAGTTTGATCTAACTTATAGATTTTGTATGTTTCAGAATTTTTGTGGTTTATGAGCCATTTTTGAAAAAAAAGAAAAAGAAACGTAGATAACTAATCAATTTCTTAATCAAAATTACTGAAATTTAAACATAAAAAAGGAAGGATCATTTATTTATTTACTTTAACAATTTATAAGAAATATTTGTTTTGTACAATTTTTTTTTTGTTCTCTATATCATTAATTTTAGTGTCTCTTATTTTTATTCGATTTTATAATTTTAAAAAATTTTTGAAGTTCTATGTTAAATTGAGGGACCGTCCACTAATTCCTCAAGACTGTTAGGTCTAACTTACAGAATTTCTTTGTTTCAGAATTTTTGAGGTTTATGAGCCTTTTTTAAAAAAAAGTAGACAGCTTTGCAATTTCTTAAAATTGAATCATAGAAATTGAGGGGTCATTTATTTTTACTATTATCTTGTACAAAATGTTATCTTATACAAAAATTCTTTGATTCACACATTCTTTGATTTTGAGTTCACGTGGTTTAAAAAACAATTGAATACAATGATTTTTTTTTCAAAAAATCGATAATTAATTACAGAATTTTTACATAGTAATTATAAATAGGGATCAACCACTAATTACTTCTGCACTGTTTTTTTCATTTTTTAAAAAAATTTTATTAATAAAGTATTTAACACTTACCTAAGTATTTAATCTTCTGGTTGAGAGGTCATTAATAATTATCAAAAAAAATATAATTTCGAAATGTACTAAGATTTAAACTTAATTAATGCAACAAGTTCAGTGTTAGTATTATTAAACGAGTTTCTATAATGGCCACTGAGTAGTCGTATTAATCGGCTTTAGAAAAAAAAAGTCTTGCCATTTATAAAGAATTGCAACCAATGTAACAGGTGGGGTTAGAAATTATTTCACTTTTCCAATCAAGTATCATCTTTTAGTTGTTAAACAATCCTCGTTAACTTATTTCGCCAAGAAGGATTTTTTTGCAAGATCCAGTTGATAAAAATCTTGTTCAAAATTTGAACTCTCATTGCAAAGCCTGCCAAGAAGGAAGAAAAAGAAAACAGAATAAATATGCTAAAAGAAAAAGCGTTGTAAAAGGAGGCGGTAAAAAAATTATGTGCAAATGCTGCTAAAGGACAGACTCAAACACACAAAAAATATGTACACAAAAATGACTGTAAAGATAATCAAATTCTTGCAGACATTTCAGAGGATATGGCAAAAGTTTCACCAGATACTGAAAAAAACTTAAAATTATCAAACACTTCTAATGGGAAATCAGCTGTAAAGCATGCCTGTGCATATTTAGAACCTATTCCAACACAAACACAGGGATCTCAAATGAAAAAACAAAAGAGAATCAATTCTTTAACTATTAAAGCAATGTTTAAAAAAATTGCAGCTTATAAAGATTGTACTTAATGAATTTGTGCATTTAATTTCTAAAAGTTTATTTTCTTTTGTAAATAATTTAAAAAATAATGCTCCTGTTATTTATGCTATAAAAAGCAAAATTCTTATCAAATGAAAAATAATGATCTAAACAGCAATTTCTATATGATAAGGAGTTACTAAATGTTTCTACTTCACAAGTATTGATTACTTTCACAAGGCCTTAGCTAGATTAAATTTTAATATGAACATACGTGATTCTAATTGTAATAGTTTATTTTTTTTCTAAATAATTTAAAAAATCATGTTACTGTTATTTTTGCTATAAATCACATAAGTGTTTATTAAAAAAAAAAATTGAATGTTTATGTATGTTTTTAGTAATTTAATGTGCTGAAGTAGGCAGGATTCTCAAGTAATAATTGTCTCCTTTGTGTGAACTGAAGAAAAATAAAAGTTCTAGCACTATTTTTTCAATGGGTTATTTTACTTTTTGCTAAATGTTAAGTATCAATGTAATTATTCATATACTAATAAAGTAGTATGCAATTAATTTTATATCATAATTATTTATTATCTGAAATTGTCTGGAATGTATTATTAAACGATTATACGTGCATATGAATTACTTGCTTAGAATTCAGCTTTTTTGCCTTTCGGCCAATCTCTTCCCTGTTGGAGGCAATTATAATTTGTCCTATATTGAGGAATTTCACACTGTCTTTTTGACTAAAGATTTAATTAGTTTACTTCCTGTGAAAACTAAATTTTTTTCATCAACTTTAGGCTCATTAACAGAATATAGTTAATTGTTTGGAATTATTTTATGTATTAATTTAAAAAAATATGCATTACTATTAATATATTTTTATTTTTTTCAGTCTATAAATCAGTTTAATGGCCTACCTCACACTGGGCACTACTATGAGTTGCTTAAAAAACGAATTACTTTACCTGTGTGGGAATATAAACCAAAATTTTTTGAGATGTTGACGAATAATCAAATTATGGTACTTATGGGAGAAACTGGATCTGGGAAAACAACACAGGTAGATTATTTTTAATTTTGGAAACAAAACTTTTATTTTAGCTGTTATCTTTTCTTTAAAAAAACATTTTCTACATTTTGTTTATAATATTAATTAAAATATTTACATTACTTCAGATTCCACAATGGTGTGTAGAATGGCTGCGTGAACAAGGTTTAAGAAAGGGTGTGGCGTGTACCCAACCTAGAAGAATGGCAGCAATGAGTGTAGCTGCTAGAGTTGCTGAAGAAATGGATGTCACGCTAGGACAAGAAGTAGGCTATAGCATTCGATTTGAAGATAGTTCATCTATGAAAACAATATTGAAGTATGTATTTTAATGTTCCATTTTTTATCTAAGTTTCTAATTGTCTTTTTACTTTACTGAAAACTTCATGTATATTTAAATTTAAGATTGTCATGATTTGTGTAAATTTTCTGTTTGGTCTTTTGTAATGGAAGATTTAAATCTAGATTTGAATTGAGAAGATTTTGTAGTGAAAATGCCAAATTGAAATTTATTTTCAAAATTTAAGGAAGTTTTATATGTTGTATATTGTTCTATCATCTGGAGATTTCTTTTACCCAACTGATTGATTTTCAAAATCATAAAATTTTTAATGTATTCTATAAAGGTTATAATTGCTTTTGAAGAGAATTCGCTGAAAACTTATATATTTGTATGTGTATAAAAGTGACTACCCATTAAGATGTAATATCTAATGTTACAATTGACATTTTCAAATGTTAAAGTTACTATTAGGATAAAAGTTTCAAAATTATAGCAACTCTTAACTCAGAAATACCTCGTGTGAAAAGAATCTTAATCTAGTTTTCAATTTAACATTTAAAATAACATATAAATACAAACTTAACAAATAATTGTAGCCATTGTAATAAGTATAGTAGAGCACGTTACTCTGAACTTTTTTATATCTTACCTGTTCTGAATACAAAAAAATCTGAATTATCCTAAATTTTCACTGTATTAAATCTTTATTTTCCAATGCACCTGGATTTTACCCATAATTTTTTTAATGCGTCAAAGCTGTATTTTTTCAAATATGAAAGAAAAGTGTGTTACTAGCTGATCGCTTTCAAATCGACAGTATATTGTGAGTCTTATTCACATGGTAAACAAAATACAAACATAAAGCAATACTTTATTGCTGTTCATATTCTTCTGAATTATGGTTCAATCACTTGAATGATAGCATTTTTAATGTTGTATTGCAGCTCAAATCAGTGTTACTTTCTTATTTAAACTATATCATACTTTAAAAGGTCATGGAATTATGTTTTAATTATCTACAATAACTGAGAAGTTTGAGTGGATTTATTTGTTAAATTTTGTATATTCTTCAGCTTAAGTAGAATCCCTTTTTTGTCTTTCTATTGTATTATTCACAAATTTTTTGCTTTTTCTTAGTTATGTTATAAATATTTTTTAAAGAATCTTCTCATTTATAATTTTGGAGAAAGATTTCAAAGTATCAGATTGTCTGTTTTTGGAATTTCGGTGTTCTACTGTAGTTATAGTTTAAAGTATTTTTTTATCTATAAAGTCTAGTTATGGTACCTGTACCACCAATGTGATGATATTAATATTTAAATAATGATTTTATTCTTATTATTATGCTGTTTGCTTTTGATAACGTTTGTTTAGTTTATCCATTGGGGTATCTTCCCATAGGCTTGAATTTTCAAAACATTATTCTAAATTGTTTACTCTTTTTTCTCTTAGCTGGAGAGATAATTTATGCTTTTTAAATTAAACCCTTACTAATTTTTCAGATACATGACTGATGGTATGTTGCTCCGTGAAGCCATGAGTGATCCTCTTTTTGAAGCTTATGGAGTTGTACTTCTTGACGAAGCTCATGAACGTACATTGGCTACTGATATTTTAATGGGTGTTTTGAAACAGGTTGTGTCTAGGCGTAAAGATCTGAAAATAGTTGTCATTGGTGCAACTCTTGATGTTGGAAAATTTCAGGTTTGGATCTTGGTGTCTTTTATTTTAAAGAGTGATTTTTTTAAACTGTTTTACAGACCTCCCAACTAACTGGCTTCAAATATGATTGTTGCTCTACAAAAAAAAAAATGTATTTTGGTTTAAAATTGTCAATTGCCTTTACTAGAACTGGAGCAAAAGCAGATATTTTACCACAAAATTACTCTAAATGAAAATTTAAAAAAAAAAAAAATGTCCAGTCTTATCCTAAAAACTGGCATTTTTCTAAAAATTATGATAGACTTTGTCCAATAAAAGTACATTTTTTCACAAAGGTAAAAATTAGTTGGTTGGATAACTTATAAATTATTAAAGCTTCGCTTTAAATACCAGGTATCAATGATTTTTGTTGCCATCCTGCTTGAGAAGTTTAATGCAAATAGTTTTTGTTGAGTAAACTGATAACAGGTTGTGAATCTAATCTTAATTTATTGGTGGAATCATAATTGGTTACTGCAAATATTTTTTTTCCTTCTTCTTTTGAACTTAAATCTTGCAAAATTTTATGTACCGTATATTCTGGTGTATAACGCGCACTTTTAATGCAAAAAATAAAATTGGAATTTACAGGTGTACGGTATACGCCGAATATAAAAAATTATAGATTAAAAAAATTTAAATATAGAAAAATACTTTTATTTTAAAGAAATAACATACCTTTACCTATATACTTCATTGATTTTCGTTATTACATAAATAGTTCATTATATTCGTCTTCCGTTATCAATTACAATTATTAAAATTCTTTTGTATTATAATTAAAAAAAAATTTTGTATTATCTGTAAGGTAGGACCTAAACATGTCCCACTCTAAAAGGCTTTCTGGTTTTCTTACGCAACCAGGACGGATTTGCCAGATGTTTTTTACCCACAATTTAACACCTTTTTTGTCCATCCAGAATCACATTATTGCTCTTTCAATTCTACCCTCACATACATGTCAAATTCAGTTCTTTTATTTTTGCAAAAGATAGGGAAAAATACTTTTTATTTACAATCTTGAAAGACGAGATATTGCACATGTACAATCCAAATTTTCGTGCGCGTTGTACGAAGAATGTATCTTAAAATTTAAAAAAAGTCATTGGAAATTACGGGTGCGCGTTATACGCCGGGGCGCGTTATGCGCCGGAATATACGGTACGTAAAGATGTTTTGTCCAAAGTTTTTGTTTCGGTTTAATAGGTTTATTTTGTATACATTTAAGTATACAATTTTGATTTACGGCCAAAATTTTCTATGCAAGTTGATTAGGGACAGTATTTTAATACTCTCCATTATTTTTCTCTAAAAAAAACCGCAATTTATTATGTTCCTTTACGTTTTGTTCCATTTATTTATTTGCAAAATTCTGTTTTAGAACTATGCATTAAATTATTTTTATGGTTTAATGTTATAAATCCAGTTGTCCTGTCTTTGTTTTTCTCTCTATGTAGTTGAATCATAAAAAGAAAAGTGTTAGTTGACTTAAAGTAGACTTCAATTGAGTTTTACAGTTCTAAATTGTTTTTATGTTGATGTTAATTAAAAAGTAAAAGTCATTTTTATTAGCTATAATTTACTATGTTGTTATATTAATTTTTTTCACTGTAAGTTTGTTTTAAATATTTTTTTACTTAATATTTTAGAATTATTTTGATCATGCACCATTAATGACTGTTCCTGGAAGAACACATCCTGTTGAAATCTTCTATACCCCAGAGCCTGAACAAGATTATCTTGAAGCCTCTATTCGAACTGTAATTCAAATTCATAGGTGTGAAGAAATAGAAGGGGATATTTTACTATTTTTAACTGACCAAGAGGTAGTTTTTTTTATTTTATGATATGCTAGTAGTTCTGATATATTTCGAGACTGTTATGATTGATATCAAGTCTGTTTTGTTCTGAAGCATTGGCTAAATAAACAGAAAATCTGTATTTGTTATGTAATTCAGTTTTGGATAGGAGTGAAATGTTGAGATTTTTAGTAATATAAAACCTTTAAACGATATACAGCAAACTTGGGAATTGAAGAATTTGTTATAACTTACTAAAGTACCAATAAGAATAAACAATTCTAAGGTTTTTTTAATTAAAAAATAAACCTAACTATGTCAGTACAAATATCTATGATCCTTTTGTTTCGTATAGTTTCTCTGAAATTAATAGCAGATATGATATATCTATCAATATCAGTTGTTAAAATTGAATTTATTGGATTATTAATCCAAATAAATACATGATGATTAGTTACATCACTAATAAACTGCTATATGCAAATTAATGTTTTGCTTTTAACAAAGAAATAGATCAAAATAAATAAATAAAAATAGTGATTGCTATAACTAAATATTTTTCATTAAGAAATTTTCCAAAAAATTATTTTCATTTTTCTCAAAGATGGGCACCAAAAAATAAGACCTAGATCAACCCCAGATGACACATATTTTAAGTTTCTTTTTCAATAAAAAAAAATAATAATTTTGTAAAGATGCAATACAGAATATTTTTTTCACCTGCTAAAATTTTTTTATTTGCAACAAAAAAGTAGCTTAAAATTCTCATTAGCATTTTGGGTTTTCCCATGCAAACATTTTTGCAAGAATTTCTTATCGCACAAGTCCCAGTAAGTCCTAGTTTTGTTTAAGGTTGCAGTGGGTAAGCCTTTTGTACGGTGGAAATATTGTTTTCCCTCATGTTTGGCTTTCTGATATTTGCACCAGTTAGGCATTGTGCATGCATAGGTTTTTCATCGGTGGAGCAACAGTGGTAAAACGCTATAATAACTGCAGCTTGCATGACAGGTAGATTGCCAACATTGCTACAAATAGCAATACCATAATAATTTTGGCCCATATCAATAAACTTTTCGGTCAATCTACCTTTACCACCTAATCCTTTGATAGTTTTTTTTAACTTTCTCAAGCAGGAACCAACTCTTTTCTGTACATGCCCTATGCATTCTAATTGTCGGATACCTTAAGAACATTTGTATAATTTTTTGTTTTCATTATTAAGGTGATCTATAATTTTGTTGTAATTGCCTATTTCCTGAGAATTCATGTAATTCTATTTCTGAAATCGATACAATTTGTATATGTTAGGAAATTGAAGAAGCGTGCAAGAGAATCAAAAGAGAACTTGATACATTGGGTCCTGAAATTGGAGAATTGAAATGTATTCCACTGTACTCCACATTACAACCAAAATTGCAACAGAAAATTTTTGAACCTCCTCCTCCAAATAAACCTAATGGTGCAATTGGGAGGAAAGTTGTGGTGTCAACCAATATAGCAGAAACATCTTTAACAATTGATGGTGTAGTTTTTGTGATTGATCCTGGATTTGTAAAACAAAAGGTATGCTTATTTTTAGTTCTAATTTTTTTTATGTTTGAAATATATTCCTTGTTATAAGCATTAGGAATGTCTTAATATACAATGGTATATTGTGTGTTTTGGCTTGTAAACTGCAATAAAATTCAGCCATAGATATTTCATAATTTCTATTAATTTTTTAATCCCGGCCCCCCGAATACCTCTACAAAGCTAAAACAGCAAATAATATATATATATATATATGTAATAACAGGGCTCCAACCCTGTTATCAGTGTTGTATTTAGCTAGATATTTTAAATGACATGCACTTCCAAGCTAATTGATTTAAGTATTGTACAGTACTCAAAGATCAATATAGTTCTTACATGAGAGTGAAAAAGAGTCGTTGGCGGCCGTGAATTTTCCCTACATTAAAAACTATATCGAATATAAAATTTAGAAATGAAATGCATTTATTTATATTAAATGAAATGTTGAGGTGATTATAAACTTGATAAAATTTCAGGTTTGTCGAAACCATAATAATTTTAGCTTGAATCACTATTTAACTGAGATAAACACATTTCAAACTAGGATAAGTAATNCCAAAATAGAATCTCTCTACGCTTATTCTTTAACAAAGACATTTTATGAAAACGAAAGAGTTTTAGTTCTTTTATTAATACAAAAGTATTTAACTCTTGTATTACATATATATATATCATTTTTTTTTTCTTTTACAAACATGAAAATTTAAATATTTTATTAGGGCTATGAATTTTTTTTTCTGAACATAACATTTAAGCAAATGGCAGGTATTTGTTTACAATAACTGAAGGACATTTAGTATTGTGCTGGAATATAGTAGGATTTAATAAGCATGCATAATTACATGCGTGTTTTATGTCCTAGATCTAAGCACTTTAATTATTTTTTAGAAAAAAAAAATTTTTTTTGTAATTTCAATAAGACAAAAAGCAATTATTCTACTTCCCATTCTAAAACGCAATGATTCTCAAATAATGTTCCACAGGATTCCATGCATAGAGTTAAAGGGGTGTCAAAAGTTTGTGCTTTTTTAAAAAAAAAAAAAATAACATTTCTAGCTTATAATTATGTTTAGATCATTCAGTTGTTCATTATTTACTTAATATTTCAGGTGTCTTTATAAAATTATTTAAAAATTGCCAATGAAAAAAATAAAATTCTTCTATTAACATATTGAAAAAATATTAATTATATGCATTTATGAAAAAAAATTGCATAAGTATTTATATTCACACCTTTCTAATTACAATAAAATAATTAAATTCATTAATGAAGATATGTTTCCCTGATAACCATTTTAAGTGTTAGAGCATATTAACAGAAACTATTTTATTCATTTATTTTAGGGGTGCACAACTTTTTTCAGTGAAGGGCCACTTACACAGCAGGTAGATTAGTATTTTCATAATAAAATAGTCGTTCTTGGTTAATGCTTACTCAATTGTCTTCATATACCTACTTTTTTCAAAAAGTTAGGGTTCCACCGAAAGAAGGTTGATTATTTGGGTTTCCATATTTGGAAAATTATGATGCACTGGCTCCTAAAAATTAGTTCTTGCTTTTGAAAAATTTGAACTTTTGTTGATGTATGTTTATATATTTTTTTCACAGGTGTATGATCCTAGGATCAGAGTAGAATCTTTGTTAGTATCTCCTGTTAGTAAAGCTAGTGCTCAGCAACGTGCTGGAAGAGCCGGTAGAACTAGGCCTGGGAAATGCTTTCGTTTATACACTGAAAAAGCATACAAGACTGAAATGCCAGAGCAAACCGAACCTGAAATCGTGCGTTCTAATCTCGGAACTGTTGTTCTGCAATTAAAGAAGCTTGGCATTGATGATTTGGAACATTTCTGTTTTATGGACCCTCCTGGTTAGTACTTTTTTTATTAAAAATCTGAGAATATTTGTGAAGTGCATATTTAAGTATTTTTAGTTGTGTTATATTAATATATTTCATATAATGATTGTGAAGTTAGTTTTTGGTAAGTGTTACAATTTTAAGTTAAACACACATGTTCCATTGAATCAATCTGACTGCAATCAATTAAGCATTTTGGATCAGGAAAAAGGTAATTTTGTTTTTTAATGTGGAATAAAATTCAATTTTCTTTCCACACAAAAAATGAATGTTTTGCATAATTTACACTAACAAAAAAGTGTCCATATTTGTAATTGAAGTTAAATATCTAGTTTTTTCCTATTAAACTTCATAATTTTAAAGTTATCAAAACCTTGAACTACCTTGGTTGAATTGTTACCTTTGTTAAAACTTATTTTAATAAAATTGTCATCTAATAAAGTTTTATATATTTTCAAAAAGAAACTACATTTTAAAAAAAAATAAATAATTTTTTGAAGTTGCCGAAGTTTACACATTTTTTGAAGTTGCAGGAGTTTGTGTCCATTTATATTTACTTGCAACATAGATTTAAAAGAATAGATTTGGATTTCAGAATGTATAAAATTTAGTGATTGTGATTCATATAATGTTGTAAAGAAGAAAAAAAGAACATGCCTAAAGTTTTTATATAGTAATTAAAGCAATTGTAATTCCAAAAATCGATAAATTAACTTATCTATAAAATACCACCTTGATCAAAAAGTTCCCGGAATTTATTCAGAAAATTAAAAATACAAGTTTATTCATCTAAATCTATATTGTCCCCTTCAAAATAATCCCCATCAACTGCAACACACTTATGCCAGTGCTTGATCCAATCCTCGAAAAAAAAATTATATTCTGTATGTCCATCCATCCTTCCTGCGATTTTTACTTTGATGAACGCCATTCATTTGCCTGATGTCTGGATTGCATGTCATACTCATAAACCCACGTCTCGTCTCCAGTAATGATCCTTTTGATGAATGTGGGATCGGATTCAACCTCGCAAATCATGTCTTTTGCGACTTCAACACAGTCTCTTTTTTGCATGAAATTGAGGTCTTTTGGCTCCAAGTTTGCTGCTACACGACGGAAACCTAAATCATTAACCAAAATGTCTTGGACGGATCCATAGGCAATGTTCAAGCCCTCCGCCATCTCTCTAATAGTTAATTTGCGGTTATTATATAATTTTATTTTAAATAGAGTAGCATTACTATGATANGTCTCTTTTTTGCATGAAATTAAGGTCTTTTGGCTCCAACTTTGCTGCTACACGACGGAAACCTAAATCATTAACCAAAATGTCTTGGATGGATCCATAGGCAATGTTCAAGCCCTCCGCCATCTCTCTAATAGTTAATTTGTGGTTATTATATAATTTTATTTTAAATAGAGTAGCATTACTATGATAGTAATTTTAGTTGACTTGATAAGTCTTAGTTATTTGATAAATATTTGTTTCTAAAATTGAAATGATTGAGATGTATTTTTATTATGTACCAAATAACTAAACATGACGGAAATTTAAGCAAATTAAAGATAATTTGTTTATTATTTTAATAACATTGCAAACTTGTGATGTATTTATTTGATTTGTTATGTAATCCTACTTTTCAATTTATTTCTATTAAGCTTCATTAATTTCTATTAAGCTTCATTTTTTACTGTTGCCTGTTTTTTGGCAAGTATGCAAGTGCAGCACAGTACGCCACTATATTTTAAGTTTAAAATTTCCGTGATGATTTTAGTCCATTGGGAATGATAAGGAGAAACTGAAGGTTGAAAATATCTCTCAATTCATCCTCCAGTCACATGATCTCACTCTGGAAGACAAGAATTATCTTACAGAGGGTATTTTCTACTTATATTCTATCTTTATGGATATGATGTGATGTACTGGCATGTAAAATATGTCCCATGTTTAAAAATATATGTCTTATTTACTTCTGGTACTTGCATTAAGTAACTTTTAAAATTGATTGAATTGCACTGTAATGGGAATGAACTTTTACTTTAATTTTTAGCTCCTGAAACACTAATGAGGGCATTAGAGCTGTTGAACTACTTACAAAGCTTAAACGATGAGGGAGATATTACAGATCTGGGAGCAGTAATGGCTGAGTTTCCATTAGATCCACAACTGGCTAAAATGCTTATCTCATCATGTGACTTTAACTGTTCCAATGAAATTCTTTCAATTACTGCTATGTTATCAGGTATTATGGAATTTTTTTTAGAAAATAAAATTTTTATTATTTTTAAATGTATTGTGTTGATTTTTAATCTTTTTATTTATTAATTTCAATATAAATTGTTGAGTTTTTAGTATAGAAACTATGAATCCATTGAATTGTTGATGTCAGTGTGTATTAATGGCGAAAATGCTATCTATGATGGACTATGACGCTTGCAAAAGTTATGTAAAAATTTCTATCTGCAATTTATCTAGATACTAGTCATATTTACAATTTTTTTGTAGTATTATTAGATTTATTTTATAATGCTTACTTGTACAGCACTACAGCCTGCCGTGATCCTCTTCCTGCCAATCAATGTTCCAAATTTTCCTATTTTTGGCATTCAACTTCCAGTTTTTTCAAGGTGGTTAAATCTTTTGTTGTATCATTCAACCATCTCTTTTTTGTTCTGCCTTTTGTTCTCTACTTAGTATTTTAAAAGTTTTCTTAGAATTCTATCATTTAATCTTTCATTGCTCCCCAGTCAAGCCTAAGGCCTGGATTTAATGAAACAAATTATATTTTTTAGTTTCATTAAATGGTCAATTCGCTATTGTTTCATATTCTCCGTTGTGTATTATTTACTTTAATTGGTCCAAAAATTCGTTTCGAAATTCTCCTTTNTAGTAAGTTAGATTTGTCCTGATTTTTTTTAGTCCAAGTATCTACAGGTGCCTCACTAGTTCCCTGTCCGACATGGGTGAGTCGTAGCTCACTGGGATCGACTCACCAGTGCAAGGTGGAATCACAAAGTGAGGAATTGCACTTATATTGCTCATTTTCAACACCGCAAATTTGTAATTTAAAAACTAATGGCAAGTTACTTAATCTCTGCTTATGGTGCTTAGCATGGTAAAGCCAGTAATTGTTGTATCAACCAAAAGGTTAATATTTAATAACTTACATAGTAAACTTTTAGCTGTTCTTTTCTAAATAATTGAAAAACAGTGCTCGTGAGCTGTAGTTTATAATTCTGGTTTCTTGTGAGGATTGACCAAATAAACACAAAAAATAATATGACAGCAGTAGATTACGATTGCTCTAAAATTTTCTCCTTTTTATTCATTTTTTTCTCAGTTACTTATTCTAAATACTTTTTGACAAATATTTTGTTTACCCCCCTTTTTACATTTTATAAGAATGTAAATATTTTAATTTTCAATTTAAAGTTATTAATTGCCCCTTCCAACTATGGAAATTGCTACATTTGTTTAACACAATGAAACATATATATTATACAATCCAAATATTTATTTACAATATATCTTACCTTTCATTGTCATCGCATTTGGTTTGACAACTCAAGGTGAGTCAAGGCCTTCTGGGTGAAGATATCCTCACAACAATCTATTTTTTAGGCCTAAACTACCAGTTTTTACCTCACCTTTAAATATTAAATTTGAGTGGCTAGCTTATTTAGTGTTTTAAAAGATTCTGCATATTTTTCCTGTTTTACATATAAACTAAATAGCTATGTTTCCGGTTAAAACGAAATTATTTTTGTTATTTACCAAGAATTTAATGTTTTCCTAGTTCTTTTGTTTTTTGAAATTTTAATGTTTTTAAAAGGTTTTAATTACGCATCATCGTTAAAGCTAGTTGTGACTTGCAACCCACATCAGTAACTTGTGAATGGTCTAGCCTCTAAAGTATTCTATAAAGAGCTCTCATCATAAAGTCCTAGATATCGCTTTGTCAGTTTTTACATCAGTTTAGACATCAGTTTTTTAAATGTGCTTTATAGTTTCCATATTCTGTAAATAATTTCCATTTTAATATGTTTTAAATGTTACTTTTTATTATGAAAAAAAAGTTTTTTTTTCTTCACTTTTGCAATAAAAGTGTGTTAATAAATTAATAAAATTATAATAAAGTTTATTAATTAATTTTTTGCTTTCTGAGTTTTGTGAAATAGCTCATTTTTTTAAAAAAATTTTTATCATCATCTCTTTATAGGATTGTTAAATAAATGTTTCAAACAGTTATTTTAAAAACTAATAACAAAATTATTTTCATACTTAAAAGTGATATTTTACGCATGTTTGTGTGTACTATCAGGGATCTTGTATATTAATATATTTTTTTTTTAACATTTATAATTAGATGACAAGTTATATCTCAAAAGTTTCATAAACGTTGATTGTTAAATAAAAAAAAATTAAAACATTTTCTGTTCAACATATTTGATTTACATTTAAAGTTTTAATTGTTCGCATCTTTCTCTTTGTTAAAAAAAATCTTTTTATCAATTATTATTACAAATATAATAACTCAATGTTTAAAAAAAATTATTTTAAACTTCTGATTTATTTTCCACTGGGTTGAAGATATTTAAAAATCTAGTTTTTCCCAAACAAAGCATTTTATTAATAAAATAATTTGTTAAATTTACAAATGTTCATATGTTTTAGTATTTATTATGTTAATTTTTTTTAAAATCGAATGTGTACTGTTCATTTAATTTTTTGTTATTTAAGATAGTTGAAAATCAAAAATGCCACAGCTTTTTTTTTTACATTATAAACTTATTATATTTTATTAGTTTATTGTATTAATATTTAATATAAAATTGTGGTTAAGCTTAAGAGTTTTCTTTGAGAAATGAAGGTTAAAACAATAAAAGTTAAGGAAGTTAAAATATTTTTTTAAAAAAGGTGTACTATAAGTATACATTTATTTTATAGTTTAGAAAAATTATCTTAACTGATTATCATGATTTGTTATTAGGAAATTCGTTTTAAAAAGTTTTAAGTTTATTTCTGAATCATTACTAAAAGATCTGACCACAAATTTTTCTTTGGGATAATTTTACATGCCGTACATTATGTTTTAATTTTTTTAAATATTTTTACCCTCTTACTCAAAAATGGGTTCCTATAAAAGTTAATTCAAGATAAAGTACTTAGTTTTATAGTGATGTTTGCTTGAAAAAGGTGTATTTATTTGAGACATCTTTTTCTAGAAACCTTAAACAAGTGTTCTTGTTTAGGATATGTGCGTATTGCTTTGCATACACATTAAGTTTAGTGGATGTGGGGCTGCTCCTTTTTGTATTTTGTGCGGCCCCCCCACCCAACACTGTTTAGTTCCACAGTGCTTTGTGAGACCCAATGAAGCAAAGAAAGCTGCGGATGATGCTAAGATGAGATTTGCACATATCGATGGAGACCACCTGACTCTTCTAAATGTTTATCACGCCTTCAAGCTGAGTAAGTCTTCTCTTTTATTGTATTTATTTATTTTTATATGCAATAAACATTATAGTGTTAAGCCAGAAATGCATACAACGGCCTAAAAAATTGATGGTTTTTTAGCTTTTTTTTCTCCGGAAAATATGTATAGTTAAAATGTGCCTGTTTATGGAAGTATAAATGGGTGTTAGAAAGTGTAAAAAGATTTTTTTTCATTAATATATTTGAACGCTAGCCTTTCTATTCTCAGTTGATGTGAGTACCTTTTCTTCTAATGGGTACAGAGCCCAACTGAGTAAAGTGCAACAATAACTTTAGGCTTCTATTTCGACATTTTTAAATGAATTTTTGTCTTTTTTTATCTCCATTTTATATTAAGCTTATATGCGTTTATGACTGTACATTGAAATTAGAACAAGGAAATTAAAAAATAATAATTTGTAATTTATAGTAACAGAGTTCGCAAATCAGCCATCTATATTTGTATTTGCGTAATTACACTTGGCAGTTCATATTATTGCAATCTACATGTTTAATCGTGTCATACGTCAAATTACCAAGATTCTTATATCGCACATTGTGATTTGTTAAAACGTGATTGTGAAGCGTGTGTTATAATTCATATGAGCATGATTAAAATAGTTCTATTATACGTTCTTAAAATTACAAATTGTTATAAGTTGTATTATTCTAAATTACGACTATGATATTCTGACTATTCTGAAAATATCACTTACTTGCTTTTTCCACCAAGTTTTTCAATTTATAAAGCTAAAACAATTTCAATTATTTTATTTGCTATTTGTTGCCTTTCTTGATTGCTTTAGGTAATTAAATTAAGCAAAGCACATATTTAGTCATTCTTTCCACCAAAATAAAGTGCATTCAGTATCATCCGACATCATGCTGTTGCTTTAGGCAACTCATGATACTTAAACTTCACCACAATCAAGTCACTTCCTCCTGTTCTTGTATCTTCAAGGAGACCTAAAAACCTATTTCTTCAGTATCTATCACAAAAATGTACAGTATTGATGCAGCTGTAATGCGCACCAAATTTACTCAAAATATTTTATACCTATGTATTATTTATGTTTGCTACATATTAAAACTGTGTCAATTTTTATAATGTCAGTAGTGTCTACTTACAAAATTCAGCATCATTGACGTTAATAATAGTTTTTTTTCAATTTCCAAGGCTCTTTTCAACGAATTAGTACAATTTCTACAATAATTTGTTTTGTAGTACATAGTTTATTATTTTACTTCAATTACTAATTATTTTCAATATTAATTAACAATACTAATATTATTTATTTAACAATAATAATATTATTTATTTAACAATAATAATATTATTTATTTATTTATTTTAACGTTTTTTCCACTCTCTGGGCTAGTACCATTTCTCTATTAATTTGGATTTTCAGTACAAAAGCTATTTTATTATTTTAATTACAAATGATTTTAATTTATTTAGTTATGTAGTAACAACAATGCAAGTACAATGCAATACTGCATTAAATCTCAGTTTCTAAACTATTTTAATAATGCAAACCACACAAATTAAGTAATTACTAAAAATGATTTAACTTTAATTATGAAAAATATTTATTACTTAAAGGTAAAATTTTAAAATTATGGAAGAAAAAAAAACATAAAAAGTTATTAAATGTATGTATGTACCTTAATATAAAACAATTGATTTAATTTTTTATGTAATTAAAATATGTATAAAAATATTCCTAAATAGATATGAACTTAAATACTCATAATATTTTGAGATATCAGAATGCTATGTTGTCATTTTCACTATATGTACCAAGGTACACATGCATGGACCTGCATTTGCTTGAGTGTATTAATTTTAAATATTAAGTAAATATAAATTTAAGATTCATACGGATCACAGAACTACTAAGTCAAAAGAAAAATATTTGCAGAATAACAAAATTATATAATTTAAAATTACTCAAGTTTTCAATCCCATAAATTTAGCTTCATTTTTTTTTTAAAAAATCACTTCTGTTTAAGTGGGATTCTACCCTGATGAGTTCGATGTTTTGCATCGATTGCAATCCACACAAAGCTTAAACGTCCATGAATGTTTGGGATTCTACCCTGAAGAATTAGATGTTTTGCATCTATTGCAATCCACACAAAGCTTAAACGTCCATGAATGTTTGGGATTCTACCCTGATGATTTAGATGTTTTGCATCTATTGCAATCCACACAAAGCTTAAACGTCCATGAATGTTTGGGATTCTACCCTGATGAATTAGATGTTTTGCGTCTATTGCAATCCACACAAAGCTTAAACGTCCATGAATGTTTGGGATTCTACCCTGATGAATTAGATGTTTTGCATCGATTGCAATCCACACAAAGCTTAAGCGTCCATGAATGTTTCAGTGAAGGTAAAACTATAAATTTTATTTAGCTTGTTTTTAGAAGCCAAAAAGAAAAGGTTCGCATATGTGGACCAAGGTAATGAAAAGAATAATATTACAGCTATATGTAAATTATTTACTAATGCATTTTTCCATAGTTTTATTTTAAGTTTTTAGTTTGAAAGTTTTAGACCTACCAACTACTGAAATAAGTCTATTTTATTTTTGAAATTTTAATTTTAAGAAAAAGATAATACTTAATTACATTTAAAAAAAATTACTGTACTATTCACTAATAATTTCATATCAATATGGTTCAAATTTACTTTTATTTAATTTACTATCATTTACTAGTTTGTGGTTATTCTGTTATATATTTTTTAATTTAATCCAAAGTTTCATTAAAGTAGTTTATTTTGATAATTTATGAAAATTTAATTCCCTATTTAATTTTTTTTTTAATTTTGTTAAAAATTGAAACGTAATTGTGTTGTAAAAAATATATATATACACTATGTAAATGTTCCTAAATTGAAAACTATTAAAGCTGCTTGTGTTTTATCTATCCTAAAATATTTTAACTGTATATATTTTTTAATAAAGAAGTGTTTATTTAATAGATTTCACTTTTATATATTAGCTTTAATTCTGTATTTTTAATAATTCAGACCGTGAGGATCCTCAATGGTGCCACGACAACTTCATCAATTATCGATCGTTGAAAAGTGCTGATATTGTCCGTCAACAATTATCTAAAATTATGGATAGATTCAGTCTGAAAAAAACATCTACTGAATTCAGCAGCAAAGATTATTACATTAATATTAGAAAAGCACTGGTTGCTGGCTTCTTCATGCAAGTTAGTATCTCAATTGATAATTTCCTACTCTTTGGTTGATGACTTAGTTATCAGTGTTTCTTAGTTATGTCATTTCAGAAATTTTTCAACCAATACAAATTGCAATTTAAGAACTTTGATGATTGTTAAGAAATATAGTTATATTTTGCATATTAATAGCAGTTTCATTCTTTATTCTAGGGCAGAGGTGATTGTATTCCGGGCGTTTTGCATCGTTCTTCCGGGTCTAAAATCTAAAAGTAGGGCATGTGATTTTTACTCGAATTTCACGATTCGATTCGTGTTCATACGATTTAAAAATCTCAATTCCTATTCTAGTGATTTAAAAATCCAATATCGCGAATTTATTTAAGAGTTTTAAACCAAATAGAGTGATTCGCTTTTATGCGAGTTTAAAATCCTAAATCGAGATACGATTCGAAAGTTTTTAAAATCCAATTTTGTGATTCATATTTACGCATTTGTTTTGTTTTTTTTTTGTTTGTCACTGCCACTTTTGGGCCATAGGTCAGGGATAATTGTGACTCAAAGTAAAAAACCCTGAAAAGTGCAAAAAAAATTTATATGCCAATACATGTTTCAAATTTAACATAATTTTTTTAACTAACGTCTATAATTAAATTACCTTCTAATGAAGAATATCACATCTTTTCAGTAACTAACTTAAGAAAAAAACTTCTTACAAGAATCACAATATTGGATTTTAAAATCGCGTGAATATGAATCACGACATTGAAATTTAAAAATGCAAAAATACAAATTGCGTTCGTTATTAAATTTTTAAATCTCGTAAATATGAATCATGCTGCGTGGTTTTTAGATCGCATACATAGTTTTTAAATTACGTATGAATACAAAAATCGATCTATTACAACCGCGTAAATACGAATCGCAAAATCGAATTTTAAACGCACATGAAAACGAATTGCGATATTAGGTTTTAAAAACAAGTACTAAGTACAAATCGCGATGTTTGATTTTAAATCGCATGAATAGAATACGGATCGCAATTTGTAACAAGCATGTATGTGCGAATATCGACAATGGGTATTAAAATTGTTTGAATAAGAATCGAGATATTAGCATATTCTGGTGCAGCTCCAAATATTCGAAATAGCTAAAAATCTGCCAGATCAAAAGAATAATATTTAAATGTCTCATTGACAGGATTTTGAAAACGTTTCAAAATTTCATCCGATTATAAGTTTTTTATTCGTCCACTAACCAATGGTCTTGAGATTCACGGAATTCTGCGATATTCTCCGAAAAATCACATGCCTTGCTTTTAGTTATTCTACCCGGAAGAATAATAAGTAAAACTCAGAATTTCGGGGCACACCCGGAATACAATCAACCCTGCTAAGTTGTACATCCCTGATGTCATGCGTAAATAGTTATATGTTAATGGGTTTATTTTTTTTTTCCAGGTTGCTCACCTTGAAAGTGCTGGCCATTACCTTACAATCAAAGATAATCAAATAGTTCAGCTTCACCCATCCACTTGTCTAGATCACAAACCTGAATGGGTTGTATATAATGAATTCGACTTGACAACCAAAAACTACATTCAAACTGTCACAGATGTTAAACCAGAATGGTACGTGTCTTTCAATATGATTTTGAATTGAAAAGAATCAATATGATTTTTCTAAGTCTGTTCTTATATGAAATTACGCACTTTAGGGAATAATATGCTATTTTCATAACTGCTTTGCGTTTGCAACTGTTACTCACAGAGCCGTTTTTAAGGATGGGCCCCGAGTTCTGATGGGGCCCCCGAAAAGTCTAAATTCTCATTGAAATAATTGTTTTTTCTTTTTTAAATTCTAACTCATTTATTATTTATAACTTAATCTCACTTTTTTCTTTCTTTCTTCAAAGTTTTATTCGGAGCTGGGGCCCTCTGAAGCCCATAATACATATTTTTTTGCACTGTCGGACGCTTTTCAAAATCTAATCGAAGTGTTTACAAATGTAAAATAATTGTTACTCTTCACTTTTCTAACCAAAAGAGCAATAAAACGCTCTTTCCACTGATGAAAATATCCCCACTTTCGTACCTACCACCCACAATGTTGTTAAATAGCCTCCTCACTTTACGCTGTGGCTTCTTTATATCACCTTGGGCTCTTTTTTCCTAACTTCAAAAATATCAGACATCCACAGAATCACCCTTTTGTCTGATTTCTGATCATAAATTGCTTGGAACAAAAAATTTCTAGGGCTGTAAATAGGGGGAGGGTCTTGTTAGTATTTCCATGGGTCACTCTGTCTTGAGATTTCCGTTTGTCACATTAATTATCGTTAAATTGGGACTCGTTCAATTCTAATTTTTCTTTCTTACAAAATTTAGATATTTTTTCTAATTTATTATAAAAGCTTTTTTTTCCCTTTAATCATCCTAAATGCTACAACTAGCCTAATTGTTTAATTTACTTTATTATTGTAATTGATTTTATTTTGTTATTTTCCAAATTAATCGTGCATGAATTCGTGAAACTAGGAATTTCTAAATCAAATTTTCGTAGGATATTAAGAAGATATGAATTTTTCACCTTTGGAGATAAGCAAATGTTTTAAATCAACTTTGGTTGTGGTTAGGGAAAACATGGAAGGTTTGAGCAGTTTTTTATTTACACATTTTTTAACGTAATTAACTTAGAAACTTTGTCAATTTTTTAAAAGCTAAAAAACTGGGTTAAACCTTCTTACTAAAGGGTATTTTGACGCACTTTGTTCTGAAGGATGAGTATTTAAGGAACCAACAAAGCAATTAGTAAGTGTGCAAAAAATATGATAATTTTATTTAAAGAAACATCAAGTCTAATAGTTATTTACTGATGAAAAGTATCAAATCTGAAGCAACATTGTTAAAATGAATATTAAGGTTGATTCAGTAATTTGAGCTATATGGAGAGAAATATATTTTTTTTATTTTAAATATTTTGTGATTTCTTGTTTTTTTATTTAAATGGCGGGCCACTATTCAGTGCACTCTTTGACAGGCCGGTCTGCCAAAATTCTTGATTTAGTCTATTCTGTATGAAATTGGGTAACAAATGTGATTTTATTTTAATTTTACTTACTGCTAATAGACAGAAACAACATATGATTTTGTTTAATAGAGCATTGAAATCAAATGATCATCAGTTAAACAAATGTTTAAACATCAGGGAAAAAAATTTTAAACCTCATATATGACCAAATTTTACATGTTTCCCCTAAATATGAAATATGTTAAATTTTAAAAAAAAAAATTTTTTTTCGCAAAATTGAAGAAAAAAAACGTGTTTAAAAGTTTTACTTAAGAAACTTATCTGAAAATTTTCAATGAAATCAAGAATGTCAAGTATCCAAATGACTTAGTTTATTAAATTTTTAAAAAGAAATTTAAAAAAAAAATACTTAAGGCAGATGTGTATATTTGGGGCTGATGATTATGAAATCTAACACAAAACTGTGAGATCGTGGGTTCTATTCAACCTGATGACAGATATTAATTATTATTTCTTAATATTGAAAAATGTTTTTCTTATTTTTTTTAAAGTATGCAAGTTAAAAACTAATAATTTTACAATTAATTAAAGAAAACTAGGAGGCTCCGCCTCCTGTTCATTTTGCTTAGTAACCCTTGTGGTTGCTTCTCATTAAGCATTGCAGATAAAGAGGAAAAACGGTTTATTTATATTTTTTTCCTGCAAAAATTATGATTAAATTGCCATTTACATTTTGAAGATGACTAGATTTAGGCAAATCAATAAAATTGGAAAACTGGTACATCCCGCAGAGTTATTACTGAAAGAAGATGGACTCAAGGGATAGAGCATTCTCCTCCGAATGAGGTGCACCGAGTTCGAATCCCAGTGATGGCTAGTCGATATGAATTCCACACCCGGCTTATACCGACCACTGTGCTGACGTAAAATATCTTCAGTGGTAGACGGATTATGGGTTAGAGTCCCCTTGCTATCAGACAAACCGGAGGATTTCGTGGTTTTCCTCTCCATGCAACTCAAATGCGGGCTAGTTCCCTCAAAACATCCTCCACGAAGGCAAAAATTTCTTCCAACTTCCAATACTTGATCCTGGAGTTCTTTTGTCTGCTGGATTGGGTTCAAAATTACAAGGCTACGGAGTTGAACATTAGTATTCGTAAACTCGAAATCGGGTGGGCTATTCAATGACTGTTATAAAATAAACTAATAATTTGGCTGTGATAGCTTGGTTGGTAGGGCTATGGACTCGTATTCGTGAGAATGGGAGTTCCAATTCAGCCGGCCAAATAATACCCAAATATAAAATGGTGACTGGTGCATGTTAAATCTGTCAGGGTTTACAAACTCCACCAAGTTTTCATAACAATTCCATACCTCTGGGCATTGAATTATTATGAGAACTTGAATACTGATCCAGGAGTTCCCTTGTCTTCTGGGTTGGTTTTAAAATTACAAGGCTACGTAGTTGGTATTTGTAAACTCAAAATTTAGTCAGTTTTTCAACGCGATTATAAAAAAAATAAAACTAATAAAATTGTATTTTCATGCATTCTTTCTGGCTCCTATTTTCTACACACCTTCATAATTTCATGTTTCTATATCTTGTAGATTTTGAGCAGCAAAGCAAAATATAACGTAAAAAGAAAAAAAATTGAGAAAAAAGTTCGCAAAAAAACATTTAAAATTGCAAATAACGTATGCACATATATTCAAAATTTATATAAAAAAAAATTAATTTAAAAAAATCAAGCATTATTTGGCCCAGGAGAATAAGTTAGAACAATTAGGCATAAATGGCATGCATAAAATAGTAGAAAACAATATCAAAGATACATTTCCAAACATTGACATTTCATTTTGAATTTTTTTGTCACTCATGATTACTAATTGTAGTAGCAAACATTCATTCTCCAGACGAAAATGAGTTAAGAAATAGTATGACTCAAGAAAGATTGAGTCATTTGTCAATTACGAGCATTGAATATGATGTCTTACAGGAAATTGATTTTGATGATGTGATAGAAGACTGCCTCTCAAAAAGCGCGAAAAGTATTGGTTAAATTTTTGATGAAAATAATGTATATAACTTTTATAATTAATGTATATGCTTTTTCTCTTAAAAAATATATTTTTTTTAAATAATAAAAATTAAATTTTAGTTTAAAAATTAAGTTTAGCCTACCTTCAGCCAGTGCCCTCTATGCTTATTTTGAAAATGGCGCAAAACTTCAAAATGAAGAAAAACCATGTGATTACAAAAAGTGTTTGTGATCTAATTTTTTATTATTGAAAAGGTTACAAGGCATTTTTTAGAAAAGATACAATTTATTGCTCCATTTTAAAACCAACTTGATTTTTTAAGAAAAGTTGGTTTAAAATTCTAGCTTAAGTGCAAGACACTTTAACTGTGGCTCCTTTATTTTTCTCGCAGAAAGTCTTCGAAAAACTCTTTTGATGGAAGGTTTTAAGTAACATTTTAGCACATTTAAAACTGTCTTGTTTAATGACCTGAAAAAATTAGTGTTTTATACACACAGTAAAATGTTTTTTTTTTATTCTTAAAGTCAAATATTTGCAGAAGCTTACCTAGAATCTTCCAAAAAGCGGTGGCAAAAATTAGTAACTGTATTTTTAAATCTATAAATACATAATTAATGTGGAAATTGTATTTTTGTGCAGGAGAAACATTTTTCAGTACAGTAAAGAAACATATTTTCTTGTATTTGAGAGCTCCTATTTCCTTAAGGAATTTTTAAGTAGACTTATCAGATTCTTTGTAATACAATTATCATTTTAATTTTTATATTGATTTATTTTAATTTTTATATTAATATTGTTAATCAGTCTTTAATTTAAAAAAAGTCGAGCACATCAATTTGTAAAAAACTTGTAATGTTACTAAAAATTCCTTCCACGTCTTTTGAAAGTAATGTAATTAACACAAGTTGCTTTTGCTATGCGAAGAATTATTTTTTTTTAGTCTGCTCGAAATAAGTTTTTAAGACTTTATAATTATTTTTATTTTATTTATTTATGTTTTGTTTACAAACGTTTCGTTCCCTTGTTTTATAATGTGTGGTGAAACATTTATTTTGTTTGCATATTCTCTTGTATCTCTATACATGCAAACTTAACAAAATTCAATCTGAACATTTGAGTTTATTACAGAACAGTTGCTTAGAAATAGAATTTGATTTTAATCATGTTTGTTTCAATTCATGCGTCTAACTTGTGTGCATTCTATTTAAGGTTACTGAAAATAGCACCCTTGTATTATGATGTGAATAGCTTCCCATCTTGTGAGGCCAAGAGACAGCTTGAATTCCTTATCAACAAGATGTCAACTCGAAATTACCAAGAAGGATTTTAATGTTTTGTCTCTTAAGAACTGTTTTTGTTGATAATAACTCACATGGTGAGTTATGAGTTGATATTAACTCACATGGTGAACTCATTTGCAAGAATATAGAATCATAACGTGTGTTTTTTTTTTTTGTACATTATTTAATTATGCTTTTCTGAATTTGTATTACTTATGGGAACATTTTTGTTTTATCATTAAAAAACAGATCACATTTAGTTTCTTTGATACTTATTTTATTGGACTTCTTTGTTTTACACCTATAAATGCGTACCTGTTGTCTCCCTTTTTCACCCAGAAAATTTCCTGCAAAAGAAATTGCTTTAAGTGCAGAAGATTGTAAAGTATTTATTAGTTATTCAAATAATCAAAAGTACAGTAATTGTAATGAAGTGTGTTTCAAGATAGGCACAGATACTGTGGTGTTGATAGAATCAGTAATTTTTGTTTTAAAAAAGTTATAAAATGCTAACCAGTTTAATGTATTTAAATTATGCTATCTTATTGAAGAAAATGTTCAATTTAATCAAGAACATAACTATTAAAGAAAAAATAAGCTATATATTCCTTTTTTTTTGTATGTAGAAAATTTATTATCACCACTATTTTAAAGGTGAATAATTACCTTTTAAATAGAAGTAATTTGTGCTGGTTAAAATTTTTTATTTGCACATTGAAAGAACACACATGGAAAAATCTGTTTTAATATTGACCCATAAACCCTTGACAATTTATTGAAGCTGTCATACGAAAAACGACCAGGGTGTCGAAATTTTATTAGCGTATAAAGTGCTTTAAACAATCATAAGCTCAAAAATTGTAAATAAAGTAGATAAGTAATGTTAGGTCATCTTATTTATAAAGCAAGGACTTAAACCACTGGTCTCGCATGGCAACAGACGAGTATAAAATTATGAATGGTCATTTTTTTTACTTTAGTTATATTAAAAAGTAAACCTATTAAACATCTAGTTCATCACTGCGCAATATTTTTGATAACTTTTTTTAACAAACAGAAGCTTGTCCGTACATACGCTTTGAGAAAGCGTGACTGTAATTCAAAATTAAGGGTTCTTTAGTGATTAGACTTAAAATTTGCAAAATTACTGAGTGTTCACTGAAGAAAAATTAAAGACAATTTCTTTTATATATTTTTTACTCTTCACAAATTCCATTCCAATTTATTTTTTTTTACATTTACACAAAAGCACTGAGATAAAAGGAGGTAGCACATCCTAAAAACAAACAAAACAAATAAAAAATGTAACAACATAGCAATCAAAATGTATATTTTTTACAATGCCAAGAATTGTTTTTCACACAAATGTTTTCTTTTTTAAATTCGAGTATATTTAATGTTACAATCACTGTGTTATCACATGGTGTTTGAATAGCACATTGATGAGATCATTTTAAAATGATGAGGGAAAATGAATGAATTTACAAGAAATGGACATTACAAATAAAATTTACAAGATAACTTTTCACTTTCTTTCACAGTAAGGCTCAAAAATACATTTCATATTTATATTATGTTCTTATTAATATTTCTCACATGAATGAGTTAATTGATTAAAACTCATTACACTGAAAATCCCCCATAGACTTCATGAATTAACTCATTACATAAAAAATCCCCATGGACTTCATGAAATGATGAGTTGATTAAAACTCATTATGCAGAAAATACCTTTAGACTTCATGAATTAACTCATTATACACAGACTTTACGAAACTCATTATGATAAAAATACATTAAATATTTATATCATATTCTTATAATTTCTCACATTAATGAGTTCATTTATTAAAACTAATTATACAGAAAATCCCCATAGACATTATGAGTAAAGACTCATTATGCAAAAAATCTTTATAGACTTAATGAGTTAACTCATTGTAGAGGAAATCCCCATAGACTTTAAAATAATTTCATAATAATCTATGTAAACACCTCTATATCATGCTTTATACAATACAGAAACTTTGTGTAAATATTATCACGGGCACACTGATAAGCTAGTTAAAATTTCTATCACTGCTCTAAAACTAAAAATATTAACATACAGGGGTAGTTCCAGGTAAAGCAAACATAGGCCTACCTTTTTCCAATGGCCCTACCTCTGTTAACATTTAATGAATAATTGTGTTAGAAAAAAAAAATTAAGTCTTTAAGTACATCTTTAAAAAAATTTACACTGACTATGAAAAAGCAACATGTCATTATTAATCTCACAATTTGAAAGCTTTAAATAGTATATATCATTACGCAATTCATCTGAATATTATTATACAAAATAATTCTGCCATTTTCTCAAAGCAAACAAGAAATCTCAACATCAATATATTCCTTACAAAATTAATCTAACAAACAACAAAAATTATAAAAGTACAAATGTAAAACATATAAAATATACAACAATTAATATTCAGTTTTATACAGAAATTTATACACCTTGTTTACAATTATTGTATGTTTCTTTGATTTTCGTTGAAAAAAAATTTCTTTTTAAGGATAATAATTTTTTTTAAAGAATTTATTTATTGTAACATGCAATTTATTGCACAGGTGAAGTTTTTTTTATCAGATAACACTGTACCCTTTTTATGAAAAATAAATTTTAAAAAAATTGAATTGAAATAGATATTTACCTTACAAAAGGTAGGAAAAAACTTTCAAAACTAAAAAATTTTCTTTAACAAATAATTTAAAACATATCATTTAACCCATTTAATAATATTTCCAAATAATATAATCCTCAATAATGCTTGTTATAAACTTTTTTTTTTTTTTTAAATGTAATATGTAAGATTTTTTTTCAAGAAATATATATATATATATTTTCAAATTTTAAAACTTATAATTGATTTTATTACAGTGGAAATATTTTATGAAATCTAGCAATACAATAGTTTAAAATCGTATTGTTAAATTTCACCAAATCCTATTTTTTTAAACTTGTTATTGATAACATTTTTGTAGATACTACAGAAAGTATAGCCATTAAAATTACTTTTAAACCCACATGCTATTGTCCAACAAAATACAAAAAATCATTTTGCAATAATTTTTAACAGTTAAAAAAAAAATTTAACTTTTTACAGGTTAATCGGGTAAGTGATATGTTATAAGAGAACAGTTTAAGAAATATTTAGTTATAAAATAATCTAAATTTCATGTATTGAAATAAATATCTATTGCATTTTAGATATAATTTTGAGTAATAAAAATTCTTATAATATAACTTATTTTATAAAAAATTCTCATCATATCAAGCATTAAACAAAAACTTGTCTATTTGTATTACAACTTACAAATAAAGTAATTTAAGTATACATCAGGTAAAATTCAGTGATATGGGTCCTACAGTCCAGTTCTTCAGAATTTTAAGAGCCCCCCTTTTCCAGGAGGTATTAAAAATTATATAATGGAAAGAAGCCTCGTAAGGCTACAGGTAAAAACTTATGAATGCTGCTTTTTGTGTATGAGTAAATAATTTAGTAATTTTGAATAATATACATCATGCAAACTCTTAAATTTACAAACACTATAATAAAAGCTCTAAAAGTAACACTTGACAAATGCAAACAATCATTTACCATTGGATGGATAACGTCCACTATCTTTACAAAGCACAGGATGATATTGCGATTTAACATTATATGGGTAATCTTTTGGGAAGACACTATGATTGACCATACCTTTATAACCCATTGGACTAGTTTGAGAATTACTGTTTGTTTGTTTTACACTCGGAGATGACGTATTCACAACTGAAGGCCAATTAGATGGGAAAAATGGGGGTATCACATAAGGGGAGAACTGTGAATGGCGTGCATTGCTGGGCATGTACATATTTTTGGCAATGTCTTTGGAGTACGATCCGGGTGGAATAGAATTCATAAGGCCTGGTGGCATTTTACTGTGCGTGCTTCCAGGAAACATAGTAGCTGGGGGCATTCCAATAGGGGGCCCAGATACTGGAGGTGTGGACATAACTGGGGGTACGCTTCTTCTATCAGATGAATAGTTACGTCGCAACGCCTCTTCGGCAGCTAAATCTTGAAGAGCCAGAAGAGTGGGTAATGGTTTAAGAGATGAATGCATGTATGAAGTAGTTTGTTGAGACGAGGGGTTTGGAGATAAGGGAAGGGGTGGCGTGATGTTTTCGATTCCATTGTCCGTGCTCGCATTGGATTTCTTTTTCACAGACAAATCCAGGCATACACCTTCTTCTGGTATGGAAGTTATCAGGGGCACAGGTGGGGGTGGTGTCCGAGGTCTAGGAGCTGGAATGGACTTCTTCTTAACACTAAGATCGAGGACAGCATATTCATAGTCATTGTGCGTAGAAGCTGTCGTCTTGGGTAAATCACTCATGGGTGGTGTGACATATGTTTGTTGTCTTACAAATGGTGATGGTGAGGGACTGGGATTGACAGGGGGTAACATGGTTGGTACTATATTGTTGATTTTGTGACGCTTTGGTTGATTATAATAGGGAACATTTGGATAGAACTCTTGTTTCATGTTAGAATGAATAGTTTGATGATGGTATTTTGCAGCACCTTTCGGAATACCACTTGCGTTCGACATCACAGAGTTGTTGTATGCAACGGGGGATGGATGGAGTGATTTTTGATGTGCCATACTGGCTCTAGATTGAGGATTGAAATTCCCATTTGTGCTGTCAGAATTTCGATGGCGGTGAGAACTCGAGTACTTTGATCGAGGGGACTTTGAACTGTTTGTCGTACTGGAGTGCTTTCCTTTTACATTATTTACTGGCACCTTGCTGGTTCCAACAGCCCCAGGTGTCTTACAACTGGAAGGCATCATAACTTTATCATGAAGTTCCATAGTCTTTTCAATGGCAGTGGTTGGTGTTTTACAAGCGACCACTTCATGCACTCCTTTTGTCAACCATTCAGCAACCTTGCCAGTTGTAGAGTAGCCTGGCTGATTTGGGAGGAGATTCATTTTTGGACTTGAGAAGGGAACGTTCATTAATCCCTCTTTTGGACCAACGTTTTGATTTATTTCTGGATTGGATTGTTTGGGTGAAAGTGAAGGAGATGGAGAGGTAGCTGCATACTCAGTATGTTGTATGACTGATGGCCTCCTCTGAGGCACAGTGAGTTTCTCATCTGTTGCAGAGGCTTCAGCCGAAACCACACTAGAAGCGGACATAGAGCCGACAGACAGCCTACCCGAATGCATCAAATGGTCACGTGTAATATCTGGTTCAGAGCGTGACCCAACCTTGTAATAAGTTGGGGCTTGCCCTCTTAAATGAGCAGGTACGTAGTTATCCATTCCAGGATATGCAGTTGATTGATAATGTGGCTGATCCGGATTAATGGGATAATTGCACCATGATTTAGCACGATTATCCTGGTAACCTGTTTTACTGGAAGGCGGTGAGAATTTTTTCGAGTTTGGAGTGCCTGCTGATGTTTCTTTGTTGGCTCCACGTTTCTTTGGCTCATTTTTAACTTTTACACTTGGATTTCCATTTGGAGGAAGGAACTTAGATGAACTGAGCTTATTGGAATGAGAGGTGTGACTTATTTCATTATTTACAGTTAGTTTAGGAGGGGTAGAGAGAGCAGGTATATTTTTTTCAACTATAGGTTCAATAGTTTCAGATTTGATTAAGGGTGGTTGTGACAACATGTCTTCTGACTTCACAGAGTCTCCAGCAACTTTATCCTGATTAGCAGGGGAACCATCAGGAACAGGTGTTTTGCATCCACGAGAAGATGAACGAGATTGGCGGACCTGTAAAGGATATAAAAGGTATTAGTTATCAAAAGAGGCAAATTGGTCAGTCACACTATCACAAGATAAATAAGAACAAAATTATTGACTTTTTGACTAACATTTACATCAAAATTTAAAAAAAAAAAATTATTAAGTATGAAACAATTTGTTTAAAACATATTAGGAAAAAATGTAAAAAATGGGATGAATAATTTAATTACAAGATACTAATGAGGTTTTATATGTGTTCACAGTGCAATTGATGTAACTTTCATGTGTTAAGTTTACAACTTAAAAAGTTATTTGTCTGAAATAAAGCTGTTTACTGTCCTATCTGATTTCGAAAAATAAAAAAGTTTGGCACAAAAGTGCATGGAATGTTTTAAGCTTAATTGATTTGAAATCTTGCAATGTACAATTGGTATTCTTTTAATAGCATACCTAAAATGTTTTAATAGTTTAAGATTAATATTTGTTTTGTAGTTAGAAATATATTTTTAAAAATTTTTTAATAAAAATAAAATTTAAATTTTTTGTATTTTAAAAACGATTGAATCAGAAATTTGTCATTTTGTTATAAACCACAATAATCAAGCATAAAAAAAGATATGACATGTGTTTCCCTTAAACAAAACTTTATCAAAAATATGAATCTTGAAACATAAATTCTGCTATTTCCACAAATTTACAAAATTTTGCTATTTCTAAGAGTCATGATAACTCAATGTTCATAAACATTGATTTATATTATACTAATAAAAAAATAATATAAGGATCTAAATTAAAATAATCATTAATTATAAAATAAAAATATACGCACTTCAATTTCTAAAACATAACGCTTGGTTAAATTAATTTAAAAAAGAAACCCTACGTTTTGCTAATATAATCTTATTGTTAGCTATAGATAAAATAGTAATCAATAATGAACGTATTTGAATAATATTTGAAAATAATCAAGGCACAAAATAAACATTATTTAAAAGTATCAAAATTCCAGAAAAAAATCACATTTTGATGGAAAACTGGATGGATTTATAAATGTATCGTGTTTTGCATTAATTTTCTAGACAAGTCATTCGCATTTATGCTAAAATTATATGCTATGCTTATAGTTTAAATTATTATTTATTTTTTACGGTGAACATATTGTTGTTCATTAAGTGTTTTTACAAATAGTTTAGTTACATAATTTTTTAATATATGTAAAAAAAATTCATTATTTTCAATTTCAAAGAATATTAATTCGTGTGTCACAAAGTGAATTCGATTAAGAACACTAAATATGTGTAAGCATTAGTGTTAGTAATTAAAAATATAATGAGTACCCATTTTCTTTCTGCAGCATTTTTTCTGCGGATTTCATCCCATTTTCGTTCTTTTTCTGCAAATGTTTCGCCTTGACCCTTCTATTAAAAAAAAAGAGGAAAATTAGTTATTACAATTAAAATTAAATATATATTAGAAAAATTTAAATTAGACTTAGTTTTGGTTTCCTTACATGCTAAAATTAGTTTATTAAAGTTTTAATCTTTAAAAATGCAATTAAAAATCAAAAAGATTATTTATTTTTATAATGTTTGTTTTGGGGAACACATGTCACGTAACCAATTTTTCTAAGCTAATTATTCAATGAAGAATATGTGAAATTTCTGGCATAAATAATTTTTGCAATTATAAAGCAGAAAATTGTGAACTTATTTTAGGTATATTTTGTAAAAAATTTGAGATTACTTACTAAATAAATGGGTTGTTTATTTTGGTTATAACTCTAAAGTTTGTAAAAAACTTGAAAATATGTTTTGTGGTTACATAATTTAAAAGCATTATTTTAATGAAAACCTTTTGAACCTGAAACGTAATCAACAATAAAAAAAAATATTCGACAAAATTGACTCACAATTTTTTTGTTGCAGAAATTTGCATCAAGAATGCAATTTATATTGCCAAATGGAATTTATTATTAACTGAAATTTTTATTTTCAAATTAGGCCAAATAAATATCAACTAAAGCTCTGTGCTTTATGCCAATGCAAATTACAATTCTTTTCTAAAAGAAGCGGACAAAATTTGTGCTATCAACTTTTTCTTGCATAAAAAAACAGACAAAATTAAAAAGAAGAAAATAATTTAGTTAAAAATACTTTTATATAGGCTAAAAGTGAGAAAATATTTTTCACTCCTACAACAAAAAAAATATTACTTTCGTAATAAATATCTACAACCACGAAAAATTTGCCCATATTTTTTTAAGTGATGTGCTCTATCATTTTAATTTTAGATCAAACAAAAATAAAATTATTTTATCCTTTATAACTGACATGACGAGCTTTAAAATTTATTACATTTTTTTATTTTATTAATTACTCACTTGAATAATAAGGGGTTTAATTGCCTTATTATCATCTTTATCAACATCATCCTTAGCATCTGGCTGCTTTTGTATACTCCATATTGTTTTGCTGTCCTCATCTGAAAACACAGGCTCATTAGCCAACGGCAACTCCTCACAAGCAGAATTAAATTCATTGGAATTGCTATCTTTGCTATTGCTATTTTCTTGGTTGGAATCTGTAAATGCGTAAGCATCTTCCACTTCTGTTGACACAGGATTTGCATTAGTTTCATTTGCTGTATCAGACGCTGGTTCAGTTTTGACTTGAACGCCATCTGTCTTTTCTTCTTCTGTGACAGATTTCTTCACAGACTTCTTTCCTCGCTGAGCCGGTTTATACACTATGCCTGCCATGAACCGTTCAAATGGTAGTAATAGTCTGCAAAAAAGAACAATTTTTTTTATCTTCATGGCAGTAGTCATAAATAGATAGAAATCACTATGTAACCCGATTTTAAGGTAATAAGTTTTTAAAAACACTATACAAAAATCTGGCATAAGCAGAAAAAATTTATTCCAGCTGAATAGCGGAAGAATTTATTAAACCGTTATTCGATCAGACGAATATTCAATGTGGCTAAATATAAGGATATCTTAAGAAAAGGAAAAGAAAATTTTAAAATAAAATATGCATCAACTCAAATAATAATTTTTTTAAAAAATGTTGAAAAATTTTGCAGATAAAGAAAATGTTTATATTATTTATATACTCATTTACAGTTTTTATTTTTACTATATGTGTACATTGACAGTTTAACACTCTGCTAAGATTTATATACATATCATGATTGAAGAAAATAATAAAGAAAAACAAAACATTGTTAATTTTATTTTATATCATAACCGTCGTTGAACGGCCAATCCAAATTTTTTTTTGGGTTTATGACAACTAATGTTTAACTACATAGCATTTGAATCCAATCCAAAAGACAAGGGAACTCCTGCATTAATTTTAATCATTTAATTAATAATTTAATTCATAATTATTTTTAATCACTTTCCAAAAAAAAAATCACAATTAAGATCTGTGAGGTTATAAAAAAATTTTTTCTCTATTGTTTAAAGTTCTTAATTTATAAGCAGTATATCAATAAAATCCAAACACATTTTCAAAAACTTTGGGGGTCTGTAGGCAAAAGTGGGAGCCCCACTGGTGGTAACTTCAAACCAAATTTACTTTTAAATTAAATATATTTTTAATATAATATATTTTTAATTTAATACATTTTAACTTATATTATTAAATTTGAACTTATATTTATTTAAATGTTTGTTAACTCATAGTTTAATAGACAATTGCAGAAAAAAATACAATTAAATACTTGCAAACAATATTAAAACAGATGCAAAATTTTAATCTGTGCTTAAACATATCAATAATTTATCAACATTAAAATTGAAATTTATTATTTTTTCTACTTAATATAATTTTAGGTCACTATAATTTAAAAAGATAAATATTTAAAGCATACCGCTCATAATGCCTTCTAGTGCATGTTGCGGCACTGGTACTTCCTGGATTGCCGCCAAGCTCATCATACACATGTTTCCATAACTTCTTGCCTGTTATCTAAAATAAAAATTTCAAAAACTTTTTATATAGAAGATAATTAAAAAAAAAATAATAATACCCCTTTTTTAGAGGCTAAAGAAATATATTCAGAATGCCATAAGACATAAGAAAGAAAAGAAATTTAATTAAGGCTTTCAAAAATCGCAAAAATAAGTTCACTTGACATAATATCCTTTTCATAACACTAATTGTGCATTTGCATGGTTTTAATCATTTTTAAGACTTTTTTTTGTGATAACTTTCTTGGTAGCTTGTGAGAAAATGCATGAGCAACAATAGTTAAACATCATTTATGGTATTGATTAAAAAACTTAAAAGTTTAAGACAGACATACTTTTCTATTAAAAATACTGCCCTAAAAATAAATACAGACAATTAACTAGCATTGCCTTAAACTCTTGAAGCACAACTATAATATTTTTAAAAATAAAATTATATAAATAATGTAGAAAAACAATATAAGCAGCATAAATCTCATATCAGCATCTCAAAGTCTGTCTTTTCTGTACTTCTTAAAGAACTGAAACTATCATCAGTCTATCAGAAAGAAAATATTTATGTTCAACACATTTTATGACTTTTTTTAATATTATGAAACAAAGAAAGTGTTTCTTTCATTGAAACTGACATTAACAGCAGTATTAAAACAATCAAAATTAATTAGTTTAAAAAATTGTTTTGAACTTATTTTTATTCATAATCAGGGGTCTGTCCAGGCCGAATTTACTACCATTTAGCGGTACCTTCAAAAATTCAATTTAAGCCAAAATGGTAGTTTCACAAAATACTTTTTCTTAAAATTTCATTTTTGTATCCTTAAGAAACGATAAGTCTATATTTTTACTATGTTTTTGTGATGATTTTTAATTTTTCACAAATTACGTCTAAATTTTCACAAAATAGGTTCCTCTCAGAAAAACCTAGACAAACCCCTGATAATATAACTAAAAAATACAAATTAATTCACTGTGGAGTGTTATAAACACTTAGCTAATTAAGATACAATATAAACAACAGTAACCAGTTATGTAATTATTAAAGTAAAGTATATTTAACTATTATTATGCAGTTTGTTTAATTATTATTATGTAGTTTATTTAATTATTTAGTTTATTTAATTATTTAGTTTATTTAATTATCATATAGTTTGATTAATTATAATGTAGTCTGTTTAATTGTGATAAGTTATGTAAATGTCACACTTACATTATCATAACCACCAAGTTTTTGTGCAAAAGAGTAGAATACATACAGGTCAACTAAAATAAAATATAAAAACATATTTTAGTTTCTTTGATTTGTACACAGTCAAAAAAGAGAAATAAATAAATGAAGACATACTTTGCTTAAATCCTAAATGAGGTACTCTATGAATTGGAGTATTCCTCTTTTTCATAAATTTAAACAACCTCTGCAGGAATTCTTGCTCATTTTTGACTGGTGGTTGCTTCAAACCATTGGCCTTTTGATTATTCTGAAACACAAATTCAGAAGTCATACAAAGCTATACATACAAACGTATTGTAGTTAAAAAATAATAAATTCATAGTTTAGAAATTAGGTAAACACGTGAATACAAATATATAGTTTAGCGCTTAAATACATTTTGATTACTTCACATTATAAAGTCATCAAATGCATAGAAAAATTATAAATTTTAAACTATTAGATCTTCAAAATATGTTCGTTTGTTTGATCGTACAATCATAGGACATTTCATTGACCATTTTTTATTTTTTATTATTTAATATTATAAATAGATAGTGATGAAAATTATAATTGCATTGATTTTGTATTATTGTAGTATTGCTCTAACATCATGATCAAATCACCTGATTTTTTTTAAAAAAAATAAATCATTAGGTAAAAAATAAAAATAATTTTTTTTTTACAATATCACTATATATATATATATATGTAATGAAAAGGGGATAAATGATGTAAATTATCATAATTCAAAAAATAAATAAATAAACATATAAGAGTGACAGGAAACTTTTAAATTATGAATTTTCCATTAGTTGTGTGTATAATAATTTGCTGGTCCATTTAGTTTTCAGTTTATTTAAATACAAGTATTTTTAAAACATAATTAAATACGCAGTTCGCGTATATCAATAATAAAAAAAGACTTATTTTGCATAGAAATTTTCCCCCCATCCATTAGTATATTCTGATCCCCCACCCCCNCCCCCCCCCCCCCGGGCTTTAAAATTTTCAGATATTTAGTTTGAACAAAAACTAACCATAATTTTATTTATTCAGTGATCAGTTTGTAATAATTAAATTTATAACATTTCAGTCAGAAATATCAACTATTTTAGCTACATTATTGTTTTTAAATAATTATTATTATTACTAATGCATTTTATCAGATGATTTGGCTGGTAAATGTAAGAAAATAAAAAAATCTGAATTAAATCAAAGAATCTATTTTTTAAAAAGAAAAACATGATTTTTGCCAAACCCGTTTATAACTACTATTTATAATTATTATTTTTAAATTTATCATGGTTCAATAATTAAATAATTATTGATAAGTTTACAATTAATGTTCCTAATATTTTCACAGTCATCAATAAATAATATTTATTTCATTTATGGTTATTTAGTTTCACTAATTTAGTGATAAAATAAAACAATTCAAATATATAATTTTTAGCAATATTTTATGAGCTGTATTAAGCACAATTTTCAAGGTCTTTTATAAATTACATGAATAAAAGTTTGGCATGACTTAAAAATTTTTCGGAAGGGGGGGGGGCATAATTTTCAAAAAAGAAGAAAAAAAAGAGAGAGATCAATCTCAGCGAGATCTTTTTAAGCAACAAACCTTAATGAGATCTTTGATTTCTTCAGAAGCTATGGATTCAGGTGAAGTGCTCCTGGCATTCTTTGGCTTTTTCTTTTTACGTTTGGCTTTCAGTACTGGGGCTAAATAGTAACAAAAACATTTAGTTAATAAAAAGCATTATATCAGTTATTTTTTGCTTTAGATTTACTAAAACATATTTTTTTATAAAAAGAATTATGATTTAAGTATAAAAAAGATTTAAAAATTTTTTTTACAGCAAAATAGTTATAACATTGAAAAATATTAAATAAAGAAGAAATCAAGCACATATGAAGTAATTTTCATACTGGAAGAACATGGCACAATTGATGCAGAAAGCTATTTGTGGTCTTGGGGAGAAAAAGAGGCACGTGTCTTCAGCTATTAAACTTTTAAATGTACTAATGTATGAAACAAATTGTGCAAACAATTCTAAGTATGATACTTATAAGTTCTGCATTAAACAATTTAAATAAAAATAAATGTCCTAAAGGCTCAAAGGCACTAGAAAAATATTCCTGCAACAGCCTGTTGAAAGATGCACGTGTCTTCAGCTATTAAACTTTTAAATGTACTAATGTATGAAACAAATTGGGTAAACAATTCTAAGTATGATACTTATAAGTTCTGCATTGAATAATTTAAATAAAAATATATGTCCTAAAGGCTCAAAGGCACTAGAAAAATATTCCTGCAACAGCCTGTGGCGTGCCAAGGGGTAATGGAGGTTAAGGATGTACAATTTTAAAACCAATGGCACATGATTGTGGCAATGGAGTTGGTATTGCAAACAGGCTAAATTTACTATTTAAACAAGCTGGTGCCACCAGAAACATAACCGAGGGAAAGTTTAAAGGGGATCTGTCCCCCAAAAAAATTTCCTTACAAGATTGAATACTATATTATTATCACAATATACATATACGTATATGCATATGATTAGAAATTTTCTAAAAAAATATTTGGATCTCCCCCTCCCCCACACACACACAAATATTGTAATCCAAATACGGGTCTCTGAAAACAAATGCAACAATTCAAAGATTATTACATATTTTAATTTGAAATTGACAAAAACTTTTTAAACTAGTTACCTAAGTATTCACAGTTAAGTTCATGGTGGGCAAGCTCATCATGTTCAAACATGTCTCTGCAGAATAAAACATGTGTCTTGTTACTCGGAGGGGCAAAGCCACCCAAAGCAAGGACCATGTCATTTTGCAACCATTCATTGGGATCTCCGCCATCAAGACGTCGTAAAATGGTCCGATATCGGCAGTATGATTGATATGATAATACAAGAACTTTTGTATCCTTTGATTCATCATCTAAAAAAATTATATTTTTATAATAACCATTAAAAAACATATTTCATTAAATAAAAAAGGTAATTGGAAGAAAAAAATTATATTACGTCATTTTGCTTTTCACCCTTGAGAAACTAGTGGGGGAGTTTTATGCATTTTACTGAGTCTTGGAAAAATCAACTGTATAATGTCAAACAACCATTTTTAAAATTTGTAAAAAATTTTTTTAGCTTAGAAGAAATTTTCTTTGTGGTATAGAAATTCAAGATGATTGATTAATAATTTACATAATTTTGTACATTAAGAGTTATAGCCATAATTTAAGTGTTACTTTAAGTTACTTTAGATTCTTGGAAGAAAAAAAAATTTCGCAATATTAATTTTACCTACAAATATTCCAAAATAAATAAATAATTTCTTTTAAGAAATACATTTTCTCCCTCAAACAAAAATCAAAGATCTTGTTTTAGTCTTAATAGCATTATTAAAAAAAGCTAATTAAAATAAATCAGATGTCAAGAGATGCTATAGAATTAGCATAATTACAAACTATTAAAAAAAAAAACTGTTTAGACTTAAAATTAAACATACAGTAAGATATTTAAATATTATACTATTCTATAATCAAAATAAAATAAAAAATTTCAAAACTAAATTACAGTTGCGGAATGTAAATTTTAAAAATTCTTACATAACAAATTTAACCAACAAAAGAAAATAATTTATACGAAAAAAAAGAAATAAATAAAATTACAAATAAACAAAAGTAAGTTATAATTAAAACTAAATTAGATTTTAAAGTGCAAGAAATCAAAAAATAAAGAAAAACCATTCCATGTATAAAATCGCTAAATGTTTCAACCCATTCTGCCTTGAATAATACTCAGCAAAATATATAATGCCGTTTATTATGGAAATGAAAATGAATTATTCATAAAGATTCATTCAAAATTATTCCAATTTTTCTCCCAATGCCCGTTATCAGTTTATCTCCATAGCTTATGTGATAGTGGGGATATATCTTATTTTGAAAGGAAACAAGTATTTGAAATTCAATTATTGATAATAACAATGCAACATAAAACTTGAAAGAATATCACAATTGGCTGGATATTAATATTTAATAATAATGTAACAGTTTGAAAAATCTTTCATATTTCTGTAAAAAAAAATTTGATCAAATACTACATTACTTCACATCATAATAGGTATATGCAATTATTAGATAAGTAATTCGCCTCCGAATTATAACATCGACATTAAATATTTAAAGAATAACATAGCTGTAGTTGTATGGTAATAAAATGAAGATAAGATTATTTAGAAAAGGCAGGACTTTTACAATGTTTAATACTCTGTATGTATAGTTTAATATGACTTTAAATTATTATGATATGCACAATAAGCAAGAGTAACAATAAAAAGCGTATCAGGTTCTATAAATGATTTATTTCATAGTTAGAATGTGTTAAGTCCACGGCTTAAATAATTAATATTATGATTAGGTTTAAATTATTATATATTAAGGGTGGAAGAAATTTATGGGTGCTGTATTCACCTTACAGCAAAATAGTATTCTAAGATGGTTATAGCTTTCAGAAGCAATACATAAGAAAGAATGGAATGGGAAGTTTTTTACATTCCCTGTTTTCACCAAATCTTGCTCCCTCACAAATTTTGAGATAGGATTAAATGGTAGGCTCTTTAAAAGGTCTCAAAACTACTCCGGAGTACAAAAGATTTTTCTTTAGAATTACATAATGTCTTTTGTACTATTAACATAAGAAAATCACATCTTAGATAATCGGGGGGGGGGGGATTACATTGNAGAACTCTAAAAAAAAGATTACGGGATTTAGGAACAGCTCCTTCAAGCAAATGTTCTAATGTGCATTTAAGTTAAAAATTTCAGACCATCTGAAAAGTCATTAAATTAGATAATGAATTTAACAATTTCAGAATAGATGCAAAAGATGAAAATGCGTATGAGAAAATAGACTTCGATCTATCTATTTTATGTAAAAAATAAACAAATATATAGAGAGAGAGACTTTTTTTTTATAAACGCTTAATTATTTTTTTAACACGAAATTTCTAAAATTTACAATTCAATAAAGACATTTTACTTTTCCTTGAAAGGAAAACGCAACCTATTTGTTAACAGTTCATTTAGTCAATTCTAATTGCGTTTCAAATGCAATATAAATTTGAAGAATAACCTCGTTAACTGAGATGAAGTACGCTAAAGTGTAAACAATGATCCGATCATTTAATAAATGCGAGAAGCTGTGAAAGTGAAAGCTGGACATTTTCTTCCAAAAGCACATCCACCATATAATCCCTCTGAAAATATGTCATCAACGTTGATAAATCATCTCTTCTCACAAGCGATTTTGTAATCATAATTCAAAAGTAGAGTTTAGTCGCCTGACATTGGCCGCTTTTAAAATAGATTTTCGCTCGCTTAACTAATCTTTCTAGACAACACGGAAAGAAAAGTTGATTCTGATGATTATCTAGAATTTAGCAACGTAGAAAGAATAGAATAAAGATACTAGATTTAAAATAAGATTTTACAGGGATAAGTTTAGAAAATTAAGGAGTTGAAGATTTTATTATTTCCAGTTACACGTAGTTTATTATGAAACCGTAACAACTGAATTTAACTGACCAGAAATTTTCTCAATAGTTAATTCAAATATCATTTTAATAATTAAACGTTAATTTATAAAAACATTTTTAAAAAATGCAAATCATACGGGTCGAGTGCTTGCAAATCAATAAAGTTGATTGTTTAAAATGCACTTTTTATTTATAATTGTATGATTTTTTTTTTAGAATTTTTAAAAAAAGTAATAAGTAAAATAAATTTTTTTCCATGCATAAATATAAAGTGTTATTAACAAATTTAGTATCTTCAAAGGGATTTCACTTCAAAATGTAAAAAGCGGTTCAAAATAAAAAAAATAAAAAAAAATTAAAAAAAAAATTAAAAAACTCGAATTCAGGCATCTTTTATATCAATTAAAAGGCAATAAAAATTATTTTATTTTGTTACTACAGCGATCCGTGATTTAATTATTTCATCTGTTTCGCATTTTTTTTTAAAAATTTATTTATTTAAAAGCCGTTGAAATATTTTATTAATTTCTTAAATTGCTGGTTTTCAGATGAAAAAATTTTCTTCATTGCTCTCTAATTTTTATTTAGGTTTTTATTTATAAATATACTCCTGTTACAGTGGATAAAATTTTTATGATTACTAAAGTTAGATTGCAAAATACAATTTGTTAATTACTAAATTATTATAAAGAATCTTAAGTTTATTTAATTTTTAATTTAAAACAAGGTGAAATCATTATATTAAGAAGCATGTTGTTGATATATATAAATGCTTTCGGCATTGTAGGGTTAATGGGATATTTAAGAGAAAAAATAAAATAATATTAATACACTTAAAATTATGTATAATGATATTCATTTATACTGGTTAAAATGGTTTGAAAGATATATCTGAAAATTGTTAAATAAATTTCACAGTTTCACGATTTTTACAACCATATTACAATTAGAAGACATTTTACTTTGGTCTTAGTTAGATTATCAGCTGAAAAAAGTTACGTTTATTGTTTTTAATCTTCTATTAGACAACTTAAGAGAAAAAAAAGGGGGGACAAAAAAAAAAACAGAAAGAGGTCATAGTCAATTAAGCCCAATTACAGAGAAAGCAAGCTTCACCCTCACCTTGAAAACGCTAAAGAGGGAGATGATAGGAAAAAAAATAAGACAAAGACGAGAGAAAAAAAATCAGCTGGGTCAAGTAAAAAATAACTTTATAAGGGGAACAGGTTTCTTTTTTTCCACTCGTTTCTCCACCGCCAGTTTCACAGATTAATGATCAGATAAAAGAAAGAGATAAAAAAAAAGTACAACAATGACGTTTAAGATCAGGACAAAAAAGGAAGCTAAATAAATTGAAAAGGACAATTTCTTTTGAATAAGTACACGCAGGAGTTAAAAAAAAGATAGAGCAGTTTTAATTTTATAAACAAAGAGATATTTTAAAAGGTAGTATTTTCTGGATAATCAAAAGATAAATATTTTAGTGAAACTAATTGTTTTTAAGCAATAATTCTCTAAAAACGATAATATTAAAAATAATAATTATGTATTACTGTTATTATACAGTAGAAAACAATCACGTTGCTTAAAATTAGTATATAGTTAATAAAAAGTAGTACTAGTAACATACATAGTTAATTGTATGGGCCTGAAAGTAGATATGTACATTGTTTGTGAAAACAAAAGTAAAAGATTTAGCACTTCAAGGACAGTGACTTTGCTTTCACTCTTAGAAGCTCCATAAGTTCAAATCCGAGCACAAGATCGCTAGGATTTTTTGGGCCCGAGCCCGCTAATTCAGTATGTGGAAATTCATGACTATATTTAGTTAAAATTTATGGAGAAAATTTTTTTAAATAAAATATAATATTCAGATTACTTACATATGGTAAAGATATAACATATAAAGATGTAACATTTAACATCGATTGTAAGAAAATTTAACGCCTACTAATTTTTACACCATTTCTTTATACTTAAATACTGAAGAAAAAATTTTTTTGTAAATTTGTTTAGTTTGAAAGAAGTATCAATTTTCATGAATACTTTGTCATTGTCTGTCGCGCTAACTACAATTGCCAAGGTTGCAAATAGATTTCAAACTTGCAAAATTAAAAATAAAAATTCGAATTCATTAAAAACAAATCAAATCTTAAAAATAATAATATAAACTTGTATTGCAACCTAAATATTTTTTAAGTTAAAATTGCAAGCACCTCAGCTTATTAGATACCATAAAGAACCCTTCAAATATAACGCAAGCTTCTTTATTGTGATTTCAGACCTTGTGAGCAAAATTAAACAAATCGCAAACCTCGTCCCTAATAATTACGCAGAAGTTTTTTTTTCTTTCTGCCAAACTGAATATTTCGGTAATTTTAAAGGGATTTCTTTCTTCATTAGTTCACAAGTAATTTATTCACAAGGCATTTATTCAAAATAATCTAAATGTATAAATGCATACATGAATAAAGTTTAAGAGAATACGAACAATATTTCATAATGATATGTATTCTTTCGATATATTGCATATTAACTCAGAAACATTAGTGATTAAATAGTATAAAGTTAGTAACAGAAATAGCACCTTTAACGAAAATTTATTTGACTTAGATTTAAATTGAGGTCGAATTGAGAGAAGGAAGAAAAAAAATCTGACTTATAAATCTGGCTTTTTTTCTTTTAAAGATGTCCTCCTTTATCTCAGGAGACATCCAGTTATTCCAATTTTATTATTGAATCCAAAGCAACGATTGGCTCCTAGCGGTAATTACAATTTCCTGCCGCCTGCAAATCCATACGTGAGATGACTCTTAAAGAAAAAGAACTCCGCGCCTCTGTTTTTGTTTCTTACAAAAAATATCGTTTTCATTATTTAATCGAGTTCTACAGAGCAGGATGCAAACAACTCTTCAACGCTCTTTTATATTTTTTTTTATAATGAAACCGACCTTGGTTTTTCCCTCGCTTTTTGTGCGTCATTGTCCTTTTTAAGCATCTGCGTAGTATGGAATATATAATATGGTGACATTAAGATTTATGAATATCATTAAATGAAATATTAATAAATAAAAAAATAAGATTCTTCGATAGCGTTCAAAGGTGGCATTAATTAATATACCTGGCGGTTTTTTGAATGTCAATATATAACTTTTAATAGTTTTTATGTTTTAGTTTTAATTTGAATAAAGCGGGTATTTAAGTTTCACGACTTTCGAATAATGTTAATTAGTTTTATTGTCTATTAAAATTAAATACTTTGTTTCTTAGAAAAACAATTTGGGAGCGAAATTCAATGCGCATATTGATATAATAATTAACCCAAATTTAAAATCATGTCACTTTGGAAGTAGAGAGCTTTTCTTAAAAATTCGTAAATAAATAATAACAGAAATTTAGTATTGTGAAACTTCAAACGAAATTATAGTATTCGGTAATAGCCATAAGACAACTATAATTTAATAACATTTCATTTAAAAAAAAAAAACTAACAGTGCATTTACTGCTTTATGAATAACGCTGTATACACAAATTTATACTTATTTCAATTAAACTTATTTTGAAGTTATTAGTCCTATTATATGTTAATTTTTAAAAAATTACATTAGTTTTGTATTATAATTGATAAAAAATGCGTATTTTCATTTCGATTTTACTTCATCAAGCAAAAATACTTTTAGATTCAAAACAATATAACTGTAATAACATACCAACATGATATGGGTTATTACGAACTATAACCAATTAATTTGACAAAACCATTTTAATGTTTTTGTTTAGTTGTTCTTCGTTAATAAAATTATAAATAAATATGTAGTAAGCGTTGAAGCGCGCAAGTAGTTACGCCACACTTCGCGAAATCTAGAACATAAAAGAAAAAGCGACGCAGACGATAATGGGAAGCATCAAAATAGAAATATTACCTTGAGTGGCAATATCCCTAACATTTTCCTCTTTCACATCGGTTGCTTTTTTCTTGTCGCAATCCCCTTCGTCAACAGCGGGATTGCTTTCAGTTTCTGTGGAATTCCGCGAAGGTAGCGTGGAAGAAGAAGTGTCATTATTGTTGTCGTCGTTGAATTGCTCGTCTTTTTCTTCTTTTTTGATGACTATGGTGTCATCGCTGGATACTTCAGATGGGGCCGATGATGGGGGAGAGGGTGCTGAACTTTCAGGTCGGGGAGCGACGATTCCGTGATTCCATTCGACTTCTTCCGTGATCCAACTCACGAGATCATCTAATTTCAACACGACACGGTCTGAAGCGACCAAAACTTCATCCTAAGGAAACAAAATAAATAAATAAAATCAGCACTGGGAATAATATAAATTATTTACAACACATAAACAGTAATTGAATAAAATATTACGCTTTATTCCACATTTTTAATTCTGACGAAGTTATAATTAAAGCTAGAAAATATAATTAAGTCGTTTTCAAATAATCAAAGTAATATAAAAACCCCAAGAAAGATTATTTTTTTAATAAATAAATAAAATCAGCACTGGGAATAATATAAATTTTTTACAACATATAAACAGTAATTGAATCAAATATTACGTTTTATTCCACATTTTTAATTTTGACAAAGTTATAATTAAAGCTAGAAAATATAATTAAGTCGTTTTCAAATAATCAAAGCAATATAAAAACCCCAAGAAAGATTATTTTTCTAATAAATAAATAAATAAAATCAGTACTTGGAATAATACAAATTATTTACAACACATAAACAGTAATTGAATCAAATATAAAATTTTATTCCACATTTTTAATTCTGACGAAGTTATAATTAAAGCTAGAAAATATAATTAAGTCGTTTTCAAATAATCAATGTAATATAAAAACCAAAAGAAAGATTATTTTTTAATAAATAAATAAAATCGGCACTGGGAATAATATAAATTATTTACAACACATAAACAATAATTGAATCAAATATTACGTTTCATTTCACATTTTTAATTCTGACATTAGTATAAAATTAAAGCTAAAAAAATTAAGTGATTTTCCAAGAAAAAGAATCCTCAAGGAAGATAAATTTTTAGCGTTTTTATTAAATGTTATACCAATTAATAAATAAGATATCATTAAATTTAATATATACTAATGACTTAATTAAATGATATATTAAAAACTTGTTCCATAAATTAAAGAAATATTAATAAATTCCATCGAATATGTTAAAACGCAAACTATAATTTTATAAGATCAGAAAATAATCAGAAAAGGTAACGTATTAAATTTATTTAATTAATATCCAATTAAACTTGGTAAGGAAGTACGCTTCAGCTAAAACTAACTTGAATACATGCTACATAAAAAGGTTTTGATGAAGACACAAATATTTAACATATACATAATAAAAATAAATATTTTCCTTTCTGATATTTAACAAAGGCTAAAAACTATTTAATTAAGTACAAAAAATACATTGATCAACAATCAGTTTTTATAATAACTTTTAAAAAAATTGGCAGAAAACTATAAAAAAATTGGAAATTCTTATAAATCAAGGAGTAATACCCAAACAAAATCTGATGTATTTCATTTAAAAATGAGAAGAGGGAGGGGGGAATAAAAACACAAATGATAATTTTTTCAATAATCACAACTGAAGATCTATTTAATTTTAAAACAAGGTATAAAATATATTTAAAAGCCATGAGAAAACTATTTTTAATTATACTCTTCGCAGTGAAAACAGTGGTTTTTAAAGGATGATCTAAGCAATAAAAAATGAGATAGAAGAACAGCACCAATAAATGTAATTGGCTAAGAAAAAGAGGAAGAAAGAATGCCAAACGAATGGGAAAAAAATTTCCACCAAAATAAAACGCAAGAAAACGTTTCCTAACGATATAATCGTAATGCTAGATAGAAAGGGAAAAAAAGGAAGCAGGAATGAAAAACAAAACTTCATTATAATAATTTTTTTTTATTCCATTGAAATTCCATTTTTATTAAAAACGATTGTTTTTCTTTCTTCTAGGAAAGCTTCCTTTCTAACCAAGTTAATTACGAAATATGCATACATTACCAAGGAGTTTAAAATCCCGCCGGCTAAATTTTAAGAAGAATAAAAAAAAAATTTCATCTTTTCTAACTTTATAATTATCTTTCGTCGCTTTAAACAATAAGTAATTAGTTTTAGATGTTATCAACAATGCATAAGTGCAAGCCGTCAGCCATGCATCGCAAATGCTTGAAAAGCAGATAATGTCGAATTAATTACGAACCACCCTTCCTTACACCCTCCTCTGCACTTCAACATTTAATCTAGAGGGAGAAGCGCATATAGAATCTTTTAATCTCAAAATTTTCTTGAACGTGAGTCTTAAGTATTTTCATTCTAGGAGAACTTATTTTTCATCTTTAATTATTATTAAGTTTTTTTTAACAACCTATAAAGCGAGTAAATATGATTTTTGTATATAATTACTGATTGTGATTATGTAACCAGTTTTTATCACAAAAATAACAATAATTAGGGTTTAAGATTTTCATAAAAATGCTAAAAATATTTATTACGAACATATTTTTTGCGTTCATATTAAATACAAAATCTATCTAGGGTAAACCACCCAGTGAAGGAACACTACCCAGTGAAGAAACATTTCATATATATTGATAAAAAATAAGATTTTGAAAGTTTTTCTTTAGATTGATTGGTAACAATAACTTACTGCCAAACAATAGGAAGTCATCTAGCAATGTTTTGGATTAGCTGGTCAAATTGACTTCGCTGGAAAATTTTTTGAATTTGTTATTATCTCTGCAACACCTTGTTTCGTTGAAAAAATTATAAGGTGAATGTTTGTATTTATATGTTTGAAGTGGAATTAATTGCATGTAATAGTATTATTTTTCTCACTGTGAAAAAGAGAATTCAAAATATAGTTATTGAAGTTAAGTTTTATTTTTTTTAAGCATCATAGCTTAATAAAGTACGGAGATAAGGGGATGAAAAAC